CTTTAAGTTTAAGTAACAAAAGTTGGTGCGGAACTAGGTCAAAAGCTGACGTCAGGTCAAGGAAAATAGAGCGGACATTTTGACTATTGTCAATTTGAGCATGAATGTCATGAACAATGTTGATTAATTGGTTAACAGTGCTATGTTTCGGTAAGAAGCCACTCTGAAATTTATAAATCAAGTTATTTTCTAAAAGAAATGATAAAAAGTGTTTATGTATAATTGTTTCAATTGCTTTTGAGAGGCTGCTTAAGAGGGTTACAGGTCTATAATTTGTAATCAAACCTTTGTCACCCTTTTTATAAAGGGGGGTTATGAATCCTTCTTTCCATATATCAGGAAAAATATTTTCTTTAAAAATTTTATTAAAGAGCTCAGCAGTTGGTATTGCTAGAGATTTAGCACAGACTTTTAACATTTTGTTAGATATATTGTCAGGCCCATGTGCTTTAGAAATGTCAAGATCTTTTAAAATGTTAAATACTTCGTCAGGAGTAGTTTTGATTTCCTGAAGAATATGATGAGTTCTGGGTCTAAATATTGGAGTGTAATTCTCTGGAATAGTGACAATGTTCTTGCTTACAAAGTATTTCATTAAAACATTTGCTTTATCAGAGCTGGTGGCTGCTGATAAGTTGGAATTAGGATCAAATAAAACCGGAATTGATGTAACTTGATTTTTTCCAAGTAAGTCGCGAATCAAAGACCAGTAGTCAACAGAATTTTTGGAGGTGTTCTCAATTTTTTCCCGAATTTTAAATTCATATTCAGATTTTGCTTCCGAAATCAATTTGTTCACTATCTTACTTTGAATTTTAAATTGCGTATGATAGGTCAAAATGTTAGTAGATTTGTATTTATGGTGAAGTTTGTTTCTTTTATAAATCTCCTTTTTCACCCTATGCAGACAGAGCCTGTGGGAAATATTGGGTGGGGAGCAAATGAGCGGAGGGTGCGGAGCTAACGGTCATTTTTGAATCTAAATTTGGGATATTTCTGCAACTAAGCCGTTTTGGGACTTCAAATATACCAAGATATGTGTATTTGAAACCAAATATCAATACAATTGTGAAAATAGTAGCGCAATTCATTCTATAGCGACGCAGTGTGCCTTAAACCTTTCCCAGACCTATATATTTTGAAATTATCCTTTTAATACTGAGTCACCAGCATTCATAAAAAATGGTGTTCAAGGTACACTATCTACACAAATTATTTTTGCATCTTGGAAGCCAGGCAGTATCAGTGTGATTTTATAAAAATTCGGAAATGTTTTTCAGATATGAGCCCCCTCTAAATATTGGGTGCGGAGCAGCTCCATAAACGTAGCTCCGCACCCAATATTTAGAGGGGGCTCATATCTGAAGAACATTTCCGAATTTTTATAAAATCACACAGATATTGCCTGGCTTCCAAGATGCAAAAATAATTTGCATGGGTAGTGTATCTTGAACACCATTTTTTATGAATGCTGGGGACGCAGTATTAAAAGGATAGTCTCAAAATATATAGGTCTGGGAAATGTTTAAGGCATACTGCGTCGCTATAAAATGAATTGCACTACTATTTTCACAATTTTATTGATATTTGGTGTCAAATACACATATCTTGGTATATTTGAAGTCCCAAAACGGCTTAGTTTCAGAAATACCCCAATTTTAAATTCAAAAATGACCGTTAGCTCCGCACCCTCCGCTCATTTGCGCCGCACCCAATATTTCCCACAGGCTCTGTCTGCATAGGGTGTTTTTGATGTTATTGGAAAACCAAGGTTGATCATCATACCTGGTTGAAATAGTCTTATGAGATACATTTGTTTTAATTATATCTAGAAAAGTTCTAACAAAGAGCTCTGTGGCATTATTAACATTGTTGGTCAAAATAAAATCCCAGTTTGTTTCTGAAATTTTTTGATTCAGTAAGTCAGAGTCTTCTGTTTTAAAATGCCATAAGGTTTTCTTAATTGAGAGTTCTCTTGGAATTTTTACCCTAACTTTGCTGACAATTTTACAGTGATCTGAGTTTCCAATTGGCGGGTCAACAGTAACAGATAGAAGATGATCAGAGTCAGTTATTAAAAGGTCAATGCATGATTTAGAAACATTTGTAATCCGTGTAGGTTCATTTACCAACTGTTGTAGTCCTAGGTCAAATAGAATATTATTTAATTCCAACCCAGCTAAATTATCAATATCGTTGTCATACCAAATTTTATTTCTGGCATTAAGTCTCCATTTAATATTACACCATCTGTTGGTAGCAAAAGCACTTGAGAAATATTTAACTTTAAAGAATCTAAGTAAAGTCTAGTTGCATCTGCTGACATTGATGGTGAGCGGTAGAAAAAACCATACATAAAAACTTTATGTTGAGCCTTAACCTCTACCCAACAATTTGCTAAATCGTGGGACATAAATGTATCACATACTTTAGCCTCAATACTATCATGTGACCATAACAAGAGACCTCTTCCCTCATTTGAAGCATACTTAGGTTTACCATATCCTCTTATGAAAAAATCTTTTGAGTTCAAATCTTCATCAGTGACATTGCCTGATTCACAAAGTGCTATCAGATGAAAGTCACCATTTAATGCAAAATCTTTTAAAAATGCTAACCTTGTCAGAGAATCTGCCTTCACACTATTTATATTTGTGAATAATATTTTCAAATCATCAACTGGGCCTGGGTTTGTTTCTATGTCCCCACATAGCAAAAGTAACAACCTACCAATATGGCCTGGATTGTGAAAAATTAATGACATACCAGGAATGCAAGTTAGGGTCATTAAAAATACAAAAATTTTCACAAATATCAGTGTGACATTGCGATGCAACTTTACTAGTTTTTTTATAATACTGAGTAGCAACCATGTTAACATGCAAATATATGTGATTTCGCATAAGAGTGCAATGGCAAATGCTAAAGACTTCAAAAGTATAGGAATGTTAGTGAAAGGTAAAATCCATAACCCTCCACAGATTAGTAAGAGGGTTAATAAAAGAAAGTATTCATTAACAATATCTTTGGAACAAGACTTTTGTTTGAAGTTTAATAGGGGTAAATTGGGGGGGGGGGGGCTAAATTGATTAAGTTATAATATTTTAAACAAATTCATGCGACTATTTATCTCTAAAGCAAAGGGAGAATAACTTCCTTTTAACTCATTAAGAACGTGAAATGTAAAAACCTCATTATCAAGTGATGTTACCATAGCATCTGAAATGTTAAAATTATTACATAAACCATATGATGAATCATCTTCACTTCTAATCATGCTATATACTTCAGATGCTTTAAGAATCAAGAATATGAAGAATATGATGAAAATCAGACTATATGTATACTATTTATATGAATCATTGAAAGTGCATGGTAAATTATAAGATTGGATCTTTAATATACAGGGTCGAGATAACCGTTTTGACCCCTGTGAATGATAGTCAAAATGCATGTAACCTTTCCACATACTTATTAGTTCAGTTCAATACATGCACATTTTTACTCAATAAGATTGAAACAACTATGGTTGTTACTTTTTTTGTTAATTTAATATTCTTTTATTTATAATTGTCAAACAATGACGTTCACAGTAGCTGCCTCCAAAGCTGGATAATTTTGTTAATTCTGATCCAATTTTGAAGATTTGTTGTCTCTTTAATGTTGCTTATATCTTCCACTCATCAAATAAGGGACAAAACTATGCACACATTCTGTCATACGGCCTCAGTTCTAATAGATATGTTGCTATACTAGGATATTCTGAACAAAAAATGGATTGATGACGTCACAATTAATGCAAATTAGCTAATTTGCATAACTTGATATTGTAACCATATAGTAAATTTAATAAGGTTTAATCAGATACCAATATCATCTCTATAGACCAAATAATGGCGAAGCTACATTGATTCAAGACTCCAAGGTAAGACGTATGTATATTATTGTCAAATAATGACATTCACGATAGCTGCCTTGAAAGTTACATAACTTTCGTAATACTGATTCAATTTTGAATCTGTTTTCACTTTCATGTTGCTTATACCTTCTACTAATAGAATAAAGGACAAAACCTTTCAAAGATTTTGCCATACGGCCTCAGTTCTAATAGATACGTTGCTATAGTTGGAAATTCTGAACCAAAAATAGATTGATGACGTCATAATTTATGCAAATTAGATAATTTGCATAATTGAATATCAGAAATTTATTGGAAATTTAACGAGGTTTTATTTGGTACCAATATCATTTCTATAGACCAAATAATGACAGAGCTACAAATGATTTAAGATACCAAGGTAAGATGTCTAAAGATGCGTAACCATGGTAACTGAATGCCGCCATAAAAGTACTATGGGACATTAGTTGGCAATGTTAACAAATGAATTCATTAAATTGACACCCTAGGGATTACAAAAATGTATGTAACTTATTCACACCTTATGGGTGCATGGGAACCCCTTGTTCCTACTATACTAAAGCTCTAACCACTACACCACAGTGGCAAAGCTTTCTGATAAATGAAATTCTTTATGTATATAATCATGGACGAAAAAAGTCTTATTTACATGCTTAAATTTCTTAAAAATGATCAGCATTACTACTAATAATAACATTTTGCATGTCTGAGTAAGTATTTTGGTCTACATTTAGGATAAATGTTGTTTTATTCAGTTTTCATTTTGGGTAAGACTTCCTGTCAAAACAGTGTTAAAAATGCAGGGCTCAACAAAAATTTTCAATTAGAAAATGATATATATCCTTTGATCAGCTGTTTTTGGCACCTGAACTCATCCTACTAGAAAGGTAAGAGCATTTTCTTGAGACATATGGCTCGAAATCTCAAATTTCTCCTTCTAAGTCTTAGAAAGACACTTTAATTATTGTACAGACTGAACAATGCGTTCATGTAGCTAGGTCCATGTACATGCATGAACTATTGGTCTCAAAAGCTCGCACTTGGGTCCGTGCCTTGATTTCTAAATTCTCGAGTTACTCACCGGAATCGTCATCTCTCTCCTCTATGACTCTCGGCAAAGTGTTCACTGTCGTTCCGTATGTTTTAGGTTGTCCCGGAGCATCAACGGGAATTGTAGGAGCCGGAATAGCCTCGTGCCTGCTTCCAACAATCAGACTCTCAGTTTTGGTCATGTCCGTGTTTGCAATCTTCTTCGGCTTATCCGTTCCAAATGTTTGTTTTAGCTCTCCCTGATTGGCTTTGGTTATGCCAGTGATGACATTTGAATGTTTCTCACGTCTTGGACGGTGTTCGAACTCTGGGTCATCATTCGAACGTGATGCTCTCTTGATGCGTACATCGTATTTATTTGGACGTTTTGCATCTTTTGTGTATTTGCTTGGAACTTTTATATAATTCGTTAGCTTGGGATCTTTGAAGTGTATGTCAAATATATTTGGGTTAATCTCTTTTGAATATTTGTGTGGACGTTTTCCGTCCTTTGCATATTTATGTGGACGTTTTATCTCCTTCGTTTGTGCATATGTGACTTTTAATTTTACGTCTTTCCTTTGTTTATTTGGGAGTTTTATTTCAAAAGTTTTGGGTTTTACCACTTTTTTGTATTTGTTTGGACGTTTTACATAATTTTTATATTTTTTTGGACGTTTTATCTCTTTTGTTTTTGGATATGCGACTTTTATAGGCCTATCTTTCTTTTCTTTATTTGGGAGGGTTATTTCAAAGGTATTTGGTTTTACCTCTTTCGTGTACTTGTTTGGACGTTTTACATATTTCATTAGTTTGTTTGGACGTTTTACAATTTTCGTTAGTTTGTTTGGACGTTTTACATATTTCGTTATTTCGTTTGGACGGTTTACAATTTTCGTTAGTTCGTTTGGACGTTTTACATATTTCGTTAGTTTGTTTGGACGTTTTACAATTTTTGTTAGTTTGTTTGGACGTTTTACATATTTTGTTAGTTTGTTTGGACGTTTTACAATTTTCGTTAGCTTGTTTGGACGTTTTACATATTTCGTTCGTTTGTTTGGACGTTTTACAATTTTCGTTAGTTTGTTTGGACGTTTTACAATTTTTGTTAGTTTGTTTGGACGTTTTACATATTTCATTAGTTTGTTTGGACGTTTTACAATTTTCGTTAGTTTGTTTGGACGTTTTACATATTTCGTTAGTTTCTTTGGACGTTTCACAATTTTTGTTAGTTTGTTTGGACGTTTTACATATTTCGTCAGATTGTTTGGACGTTTTACAATTTTTGTTAGTTTGTTTGGACGTTTTACATATTTCGTTAGATTGTTTGGACGTTTTACCATTTTTGTTAGTTTATTTGGGCGTTTTACATATTTCGTGTTTTTGTTTGGACGCTTTACATATTTTATATATTCATTTGGGCGTTTTACGTCTTTCGCATATTCGTGTGGACGATTTTTCGTGTACTTGTTTGGACGTTTTACATATTTTGTATATTTGTTTTTGTTTGTATTTTTTGAATGTTTATTTTGAAGTTTTAATATTTTGTTCATGTATTTAATAGGCACTTTTGCGTCTTCTGTACGTGTGTTTGAGACTTTAATGTCAAACACAGGATCTATTTCTTTTGTATATTTGATTGGACGTTTGACATCTTTTGTGTATTTATTTTTGATTGAACGTTTACCTCTTGTGTATTTGTTTTCCTTCGAATGTTTTGTGTCTTTCGTGTATTTGTGTGATCGTTCTACATCTTTTGTATATTTGTGTGTCCGTTTTACACCTTTTCCACGTTTGCGTGGTCGGGTTGTACTTTTTGTATACTTGTTTGGCCGTTTTAAATCTTTTGTAGAGTTGTGTGGCCGTTTTGCATCTTTGTTATATTTGTGTGGCCGTTTTGCATCTTTTTTATATTTGTGTGACCGTTTTGCATCTTTCGTATATTTATGTGGCCGTTTTACATCTTTTGTATATTTGTGTAACCGTTTTGCATCTTTTGTATATTTGTGTGGCCGTTTTAATTTTTTGGTAGATTTGTGTGCCCGTTTTACATCTTTACCTTGTTTTCGTGGTCGGTTTGGATTTTTTGTATACTTGTTTGGCCGTTTAAAATCTTTTTTAGAGTTGTGTGGCCGTTTTGCATATTTTCTGGATTTATGTAACAGTTTTGCATTTTTTAATTTGTCTGGCCGTTTTACATATTTTGTACGTTTGTCTGGCCGTTTTACATATTCTTTATATTTGCGTGTTCGTTTTATATCTTTAATTATGGGTGGGTTTGGCATTTGTTTTTCAAACGCATGCGGGTCATTTAGATGCATATTGGGATTCCCATTTCGGGATTTAACTTCCACCAGTTGCTCTTTGATTTCAGATTCGGTCGATGCTCTTTTGTCAAAAGGATCAGCTGTAAAATAATCGAATTGTGTTTGAGCATAGAGATCTCTGTTGATATCGCTGCAATATTTGACAAACTATCTGACAGTTGCACGTTATATAGATGGTATTAAAACTATTAGACAAAGGCTGTTTCTGACAACAACATTTTTGTCAATTTAAGATATTTCCAATTTTGATGAATCACCTTGTGTCTGTTCTATAAGAAACTGCTTGGTGGCAATCTTGTCTACACACCATCCTCCAATCCGCTGTTTAAATGGATCTTCGACGAAGGCAAACAGGTCGTTAAACAGGGCCACCTTCAGACACACGTATCCACTAGAGTGACAGTCGGTGTTGTTCATGCATTGTCGTAACCCCCTGGGAGGACTCTGTTAATAAACAACACGTGGTAATTGTTACAAATCTCTGCTGATCGAATAATGGATTCTCAACATAGGACTGGTGTAACCTTGTGGTTGATGAAATTGACATTCAAAAACATGACATTGAAAAGTTTCCCATGGTAATGAATACGAGAATGAAATCTAAACACGTTTATTCATACTTCAGAAAAACATGTATTGCTATAGCTTAAGCTTCAGTTGTTGAATCGGTAAATTAAAGCCATTAAAACCAAAAGGTAAATTTTCGAAGGGCAGCATTCTTATTTCACATTCCCGAAGTGGGCTGTGGGGCTGTGGAATGCAAAAAAGGGATATGTTTTGACCTTATTGGTATAGGAAGCTTATTCTTTCCTGACTGGAGACTCATTTTCTATGATGTACCTGTCTATAATCGACTTCACTTCACAGATAAAATCAAAGGCTACAAACCGGTGAAATCTTCATATTACTATGCCAATTGAAAATTGAAATACAGTCACAGTGTCTAAATTTTAGGATAAAGGAGAAGAATTTTGTTCACAACTTTGACTATAAAAAAGATTTTCAGCATGCACTTACCTTTTGCAATGGGAGTCCAGTCACAAAGTTACATAAGAACACAATAAAACAGGATATAAACATGAATGTTCTCATAATTTTAATTTGGTTTGAAAAAGTCTGAAAATCAAATCAAACGTCCACCATTCATCCTTTGAATTTGTTCCAGGAATGATCCTTGTGACGTCATGTGAATGTCATGGTAACAACATATTCATCCATTTGTGTTTGTTCTCATGTCATATAGTAACAAGGTCGTGGCCAGGGAAGAAGGATAAATTGATTTTGTACATCCGGTTCAAATATTTAATATGTAGCTTATATGGAGACACACAACCATTAGATCCTTCCGCCGAGTGGGAAGACGAATAGATGGCATTATAAAAACAAAAATATAGTCCAATTATTGTAATTACATTAGCATCACCAGTGGTTGGATTTTGGTAAGTACATGAATGAAAAAGTGTATGTGTGGACCAACTCTGAGACATGATTTGATGTGATTAAGGTGCATTTTCTTTAAAAAATTTGACCTTTTTGACCTGCCTCCATCTGTCAAAATCAGAATGACATTTTTTGACATTTTCTATAGATGGCGTCTTCAACAGGTGAGATCTTTTGATTTTCGTGGGGAGTTTTGATTCAAACTTTTTTGACTGACAGAGGAAATACTGGGGTATGATGCAATGATAGCAAAACATGTCCACAAATCTTAGTTTTCTCTTGAAGACAGATCGTTTGTATGGGAATACGCATGTTATAACAATTAGTTGGGTTAACCCTATCTAAAAGCCCAACCCGAAAGCCAAACAATCCTGCTTGTGAATAGGCACGGACGACATCTATATAAGTGAAAATGATAATAGGTCTGAAAAAATTTCTCTAGTGTAAGCATGGACGTATATCAACAAGCAGTTGCCTCATGCCTATTGGTAGATTGGCTTACTATGCCAATTGCATGGATTGATAAACTTTCCTCTAATGTAAAGCATGGGCTTACCCAGGGGGTGCAACCGTACCCAATTTTGAGCCAATTCTCTGAGATTTTGAAAAAAGAAAGGTGTGCATTTGCAAAAAAGTGGAGAAGCTAGGCTTCAAGTACAAGCTCTGTTGATGGGGACTGGTTTATTTTATTTTTTTAGATATAGACCCATCGCCTTGGGAAATCCTGGGTACGCCTCTGTAGAGACATTTTAATTAGACCACATGAACCAAACAGTGAATCGTAAAACTAATCGTAAAAAAGTAACGTCTCCAAGCAGGTTTCGAATTAACCCGATTGTCTATATATTCAAATATTTGTGTTATTTATGGGAGCTTTTTATTGATAGAAACATCAAATGTCTAAGCTTGAATTTGCGTATGCAACTTTCGGCTGTCGGCTACCGGATTAAGCTATTTTATGGGGAGCATTCCATTTATATTTAAATAAGTTATGAAATAGTAGGTTAATCCGGTAGCCGAAATTGTATCTTATTTTTCTAATACAAAGAAGGTGTTTGTATACATATATATTTATTCATTCATTTGAGTTTATTTACAGTTTGTTTGTAAAAACATTTTTATACTTTCGATGGAAAACAGTATTGATCAATATTTGTATTACTAATGTACTGTATGTTGCAGTCATTAAAGTCCCATTTTAACCGCTTTGAAAAGTTTCAAGTTTCAAAACTATGAAGAGACGTAACGAGCACAACATGTTTTGCAAATTGCAATGGTCTGTTCGTTAGTTCAGACTTCTATCTTTTCAACGAAAATCATTTGGGTATAACTGTCGAAATCTGCGTTAAAAAAGGTTCTGGATTTCCTCCAGTTTCGCAAATCTCCCCTTGATTGCGTGAGCTTTACCCAGTTTTCTATTATAAGAAATAACAACTTAGATAGAAGACTACAACATATACAAACAAACAGAACTTCTATTAATGTTATTAGATGTCTCTTATGATTGTCCGAGTGATTCATCACTATAAATGTATTGGTTTGAAAGTCCACAAGGTTGTAGTGAAATGATTTAAATTCTAACTATTGTTAACCTAAGCAATTTAAGTAACTAATTCACACACGATATTAACAAATTGAAGGTTATACGTATAATACTGATATAAATGAAACGTCAAGAAAATCCATTTCATAATTCATACGCAATTAACTGATGAACAAAATCTAGGATGAACATCAAGACAAAGGATGGACTTTCGATTGAGGCAGATGAGAGTTGGGATTCGTTGCAGATAAGCACGGGGGCTAAACAAAACCACTTTGACACTGAACGAAAGCTTTTGCAATCGGCGTTTTCATTTCGTTAATCTGAATACATTTTGATATATCTCAGATTTAAGTTTATATATAATTGTCAAGGCTATCCTCATTTGTATCCTTGTAAGACTCAATTTCCTTATTTGTTATCAATAAGTTAATTTTGGCCATAATCTCCAATGACAATGTTCCATTTATCCAGCCATCTCATGTTTATTCGAATATCGGAATAGTCTATGAACATGTTATATTATACTGACTTAAACTATCGTATATGATATATATTTGATATAATTAGTTATACTATTTGATTTTATCAATATATGAAATAGAAGTTACACGTTGTTGTGTTTAATCGTCGTCATGGCAACTCTCTTGATAACTTATCTGTATAAAATCATATAACGTGTTGATTTCTTGAAATCAAATATGATTACATAATTGTACTGTGTTGATATATACTAGTGTTATATACATGTTTTCATATTCTATCTGGGTTGTCATGGTTTTCATCACTAATGTCAGTTTGGCAAGCATTAAGCACACTGAAAGCACAAAGCCCTATCATACACATCTTATAACTAATGGGGGTGCGTGGCATGATGGTGATGGTGTTGTTAAGTTGATGTGATCTAATGGTGGCCGAACTGATATTTGTAGTTTTTTAGGCTTTCGTAGGGGCGGTATGGCTCATTGACGTAAAGCGTTTGCGGCCTACCAAAGTGATCCACCAATGGCACCTTGACACGAATAATCTGCGAACGTATGGGAAAGTCACTGTAGTCAAAGGTCGCCAGGTCTATTTTAGTTTGGGTCTCAGCATCTCGAACGACAACAGTTTCCCCTCCCTCAACTAGAGTCTGTGTAGTTACTACCTTCTCCATCAAGTTTTGTAGTAGCGTGTCAACGTGGCTGTTATCTAGTGCAGACTGTAGTAACTCCTTTTCTGTTGTCTGGCGATCAGAGAAGGAGTGCGTGTGGGTGTCGGTCCACTCCTCATGTCTCCACTCTTCATCCTCAATCTCTTCATCACACTGCGCTTCGGCGTCTGACATCGGACGCAACATACTCAATCTATATTCCTCCTTGTATTGTTCGAACAACTCTAAAGCTTGAGCACGTACATCCGCCTCTTGTTCTTCCTTAGAGACCGTTGTGGTGGTTTCTGTTGTGGTAATTATTTCATTTTCCTCCATATCAACTAGAGGATCTGTTTGGCATTCGATACTTGAAACAGAGGGTCCATCAACAACAGTCTCTGTTCGCATTTCGAGCTCTCTCAATCGCTCGCGTAATGCTAGTTCCTTTTGAGCAGACGCTATTGTCATTTTTGAAACCGCAGCTGCAACAAAGTTTTGTTTTATATATTCCTCGAACATATTATTGTCTGTTGACATATCCGTATTCGTTGTAGATTTATTCAATGTCTGGCATTGGGCGTTGTTAGACTCGTTGGTAACATTGACGCCTTGATCAACCATTCTTGGAGGCTTTGTTGTGTCTACAGTTTGGATATCAGCGTTCTCTGTCACCGGCAGAGAGGATTGGAAAACGTCAAATATGTACTCACTAAACATTGAATCATCTGTATTTACGTTGGTATTTGTCAATGGTTTTTGATTCGTCTGTGTTCCATTAGCCACAGCACCAGGCTTCTGAACTGTCGTTGTAACCTCCTCCGTAGATTTGTACCATTTGCTCACGAACTCTTCAAATAGATCAGGATCGGTGTTGACAAGGCGATCTATCATACTCGGTTTTTCGGTCTGACTGGATTCTGCTTCGACATAAGGTGCATCGTCATCAGTTTGACAAGCCGTGTTGCCATAGACGTGTGCGAAACAGCTTATCTGGACCCCGGCATCAACTACGGGTTTAACTTGTTCCTGATGAACAGTTTCTTCAACGGTTTGTTGTATCAATTGTTCTTTTATTACAGGTTCAACTTCAAGTTCTACCAAGCGTTTCTTGTTCATGTGTAGATATGTAACATGTGATTCGCGTTGTATATCTGGCTTGATTTGAACATTCGTCACTACCTGTTGAATGTTGGTCTGGGTTGTTGTTTCATTGGTCTCGATTTCCGGTGGCTGCTGGGTCATTATTTCCTCTTCTACTACCTCAGTAACCCTCCTTTGTGTTGTGGTCTGCTGAGAAGTCTCGATCTCCCAGTCCTCCTCGGGTCCCAACTCGATGGTTTTACGTTTGTTGAGGAAGAGATGTACGACGTACGAGTGATGGCGCATGGGCCCAACTTCAACACTGTGCTCGGTTTTACTCTTTGGCTTTGCATAACTTGCGTGCTGCACGGTCTGTGGGAAGCTTATCATCTTGGTACCATAGACTGTATCTTCGGGATGAATTTCATCCGTCGAGACGTTCATAGACGCATTATCATTATCAACGTCGATGTCCAGCAGTTTTCCCGTGTTAACATCGAGGTGGGAGAAATGACAAAGGTGTGTGGTGAATGTCTTGTATGTGTTAGGAACATCACTATCGATTGTGATGACATCGCTAACATAAGGTGTGAAATCGAGGTGGCCCATTGAATGACTCCTAGTCGGAACAGAACTATCATTACGAAAACTGGCGTTTGGTCCGTTTGATCGATTCAAGTAAGACGTGGAACGAGAGCGTTTCTTTGGCGATTCGTCATTCGGGCCTGTTGGGGATGGGAGGCTCTGTGGTGTCTGATACCCACTATCCAATCTAACACTCATACTCTCCATGCTCTGTGCTCTTCGGATCGGGCTATTTCTTTCATCGTCGGCATCTCGATCAGATCCATTCCACAAATCATCATCTAGGTTATCATCGCTGCTGTTATAAACATGGAGGGACTCATCGAAATACCCCGAGTCCCTTAGTGGGTTCCGTGGACCCGTTTTAATAACATGAGGGCCCCCTGGAGGAGGGGACTCTCTGTATCTCTCCATCCGGTTGGAACGGACTAGTACTTCCTCGGCAAAACTAGAAATACAAAAAGATATCTTTAAGTTAACATATTGTAATCTCGAACATATCGCTAGAAATAAGGTTCATTAAGTATCCAAAGTTTAAATCCAGCGCTTTTGTTAATTTTACAAAAATAATAACTTCTACCTTTATATGTCTTTACTGAATCGGATTATCGTGTGTTATGAGCTAAACTCTACTTATCATCTTAGATATGCAGATCGTGAGCTTTTTTATTAATATGTCATAAAGGAGGGAGCGTAGTTCAAGTATTGAGGACCAAACCACTTTGGATCCCACTCGATTATTGAACATATACCCATTAAGTAACTTGATCAAACAGGACGCCAGTATATCTGTCAAACTAATCTTAAAAAATTGAATATATAGCTTAAGGGCACATTTTTTTGAACTCTTGAACATAAATTTGTTTTTTAAATATTGAATTCGTGTCATAAGCGGCTTCTCGAAAAAATTCCCTGGATCCTTATCACAGTCGTCATAGGGAAGTATTAATTAGGGTTGTTTCGAAATACCAAGAAGCCAATCAATCTTGTAAATACATTAATTTACATTGATAATTGTTAATACAAAGGATTCCGACTTTGATTAAAATGGGTGAATTAATCAGAAGCTGTCTCATTATCATCCCTGGTTTACATATGTGAAAAAGTCAAGAAAAAATATTAAAATACTCCGCGGTCACCAATCTTTCCAGCAGTCGACCCAATACTACATGTACTAAGACCATGGGGGAGGGGAGAGAGAGGAGCACACGGATGAAACTAGATTTATTTAGTACAATTTCTTGAGGCAATAAAATATTAAACATTTCAGGATGACCCTCATTGTCCAAAAACTCAATAAACAATTATAAAATACAACAAAAATCATTCAATCATTTGAATCGGATAAAACTATTGTTTTATTTATGATATGGAATGAATAAAAGTTTGGCATAGCTACTTTATAAATTCATAAATGTCTGAATTTCCGTCATTTAAAATGTATATTAGAGCATAATTACATTTTTACCCATTTATGTTTGGAAAAATATCAAGGTCACTTTGACAGACAGAGTCTATGTGACTATGTTAACAATGCTAATATGTTGTAGTAATAATTATTTCGACTCTAATTGATACCAAACTTGTCCTTTATGAAATTACAAACGCGGTAAATATTTTTGGTGAAAGACGTCGTCTATCATCAAACATATTTAGCTTTTCACTGGTTCTAGTCAGTCGCATACACAATTATTGGATCAAGATCTAAACCAGATCACCAACGAAACTACTTTTTAAAAAATGTAACGTAATAGATGGACTATTTTATCATAAAGGTTTCCATATTTTCAAATAATTCATGAGCCTGAGATTTACTCTACTACTAGATGGCCTAACATATTTTGCCATGCACTGCGCCTATTTATTTGGCAATTCAGTTGTAAATTTTCTCTTGAAAAAATAAATCTTCCAAAGTTGAGTTTTCTTGCAGAAATCGCCTAATCCCCCCTCCATCCATTTTGTACGATCACCGGGCGTGACATGGCAGGTATTATAATCTAAATAATCGTTAATCTATGTATTCGTTAATTCATAGAATATGAATAAGAGAAAATTTGAAAAACATGAAATCCTATCCCTCCAAAAAATTCAAAACTACGGAAGGCCTATACAATATACAGGAAGTAGAGAGAGGCCCAATTTCATGTCGAATGATCTAAGTTATTGCATATGTCTCTGGTTATGCTGGTTATGGTTAAACGTTGTAGCATATATAACATCAAGAATTAAAATTATATATCCCCAATTACCAATCCTTATATCAATTGCAAAAGTAAAACAACAAATAAAAATGTATACCTTCCTCTTCCATCAAACTTATCGAACTTCATGATCACATTTTATATGACTAAATTTCTGAACACAATCCAACCTTGCCCCATGGAGCGTATACTAATCCACGAGATGCGTGCTTTGCTGGCTTACTGAACAATGCATTATTAATGCTACAATTTTTGGCAAGAGACCTATACAATAAGAGGATTGCGATTGGATAAGTGCAATAATGATCTGGCTGCATCGATAGATGGGTGGTATAAACGTTAAATACTTATGGTATTGGTCACTGACACTTGCTGTTTTGGTTCATCTAGTGTCAGGGTGTATTAACAACAGATTGAATGTACCTTTTTGTAACTATATTAAGTTAAAATCATTATAAAAACAAATATAACATGACGTAACACCGCTGATGTCAGTGATTCAACACAATAAAGTGAATTTAACTTTTGACCATTCTGTTGACCTTTGCTAAGTTCACGCAATTAAGAGCCGATTGTTTTTATGTCCAGACAGATAAGGATTACCTTAATCATGTTATTAATCGAATTAAACGTGTGATAGTTCACTTATTTCTAAGTGTGAATTCATTTTTTATTAGTTTTTATCGTTTCTTTATTTCAATATTCAAAATTAACATACAAATGTGAATGCCATCTTGTTGGATTTATTGCTCACCATTGGATTTTATATTAAGTCTTTACAGCGTTTATTGAATCATAGTTCCAGCGATTTATTTTTTCATTCAAATCTGTTGTGAATAAAATGCCACGAATGACAAGACTGTTTATGAACTTTAATGTTTTTAACCATAAACAGTGAATATGCTCTAAAACCAATTTTAAATGAGTTATTTCATAACTAGTTAACAACAGCTGTTGCGAAAGGTTGTTGCATACCAGCATACTCAGACCAATTTATGAAGTTTGAATGAAATGTGAAAAGAAAAAAAATTATTAATGGTTTGCCTGCACGTTACTAATGATACGTTATATGTTTCATTCCAACGTGAAGTGTCCAACTTTTAGAAATGAGTGACAAAATTAGAACCGATCAGAAATATTTATCCCTATATTATATCCACAGTGACAAAAGTTAAAATATAACTTGATGTTCCATTAGGAAGGTAGGAATGGAGGAAAACTCGAGGCCTAAAATCTTCCGTTTTGAACAGTCACCGTATAAATGCATCTTCCTCATTCTGAATACCCAGATCACTATTACCTTGCAAATGGTGTACTTTTATGCGTCAAACTGATAGAAATCCATGATCTCTTATAATACAACGTGATATCATAAAATCAGTAGTTGATCGACATAATCAAACAAACACATACCAAAATTCACTAAGTATACTTCAGGCATTGAATCTCAAGTGCTTTTACTTTTAAGTTTTTATACGTCCCATCAATAACAATTCAAAAATCACTAAATCAAAAGTAGTAAATAAACCTCACCCTTATGTTTGGTTTTACGTATTATACGCGATGCATGTTGACATTCTCGAACTTCCTCGACACTGAATCACATATGGCTGATTGTGGTTTCATGTAATTTTAAAAATTAAAGGATAAACCGGAACATTCTTTTTATCAAGATATTATTTTTGTTTGAAACCAAATTGTCCCTCATCCCTCGGATTTCAGTTTAGCTAGTTTTGTAATGAACCATATGGGCTAAATTTAGATTATTGATCAATTTGAAAAATGCGCAAGAACTGGCCAATTTTGTGGTTACCACCACAAGTATATAAAAACACATGTCGGACAAATTTTATCCATAATTATATGGTTACTACAAGTTTCTGGCTAAAACGAAGTTGAGTGAACAATAAATGACGCCTGCAATTGCTAAATTCAACGTCCGACATACCAATAGTAGATGAAAAGATGCTGGCCATTAAATTCAGGTCACATTCTTTCATTATGTTTTACAGCATAATGATTATAACTAGTATTTATCGACTCGAAAATATGTTTCACACTGATACAATCAGTAAATGTCTCCAATCGAAATGATTTACTTTTACAAATGAAGTATTGATTTGATTTTTAAAATGTTGTTTTGAAGCCAACAACTCGATATGTAGTTGACTAAATTAAGTTCATTCTGACATTTTGTTCCAAAAATAATTCTATTTGAACAGTATACTTAATTCAATATTTGCAAATGAAGTACGTGCGACGATTAGAACGTCGCATGGCCTTTCAAAGACGGTGGGCCCACCGTGATGTGCCCTGCCTATGTTACAAATCATAACTTAAAGTTCATACTTATCCGTGCTCCATTGTCTAAATCTAGCATACAATTCCCCATCTAATGCTCCTAAATCAATTTACATTATTGTTTTATAATTTCGAGAACACCATTGTCAATATCCAATAATCAGAGGGGCCGAATAGCTGTTCAGTTTATTACGCCATGAATCCGAGGTACCTCTGCGATTGTTGGGAATGAGTTTGTGTTTGGCGAAAATAAATAAAACGTTTTCACTGGAGGGTATTATGTCAATTGGTAACAGGTGCTGTGATGCTGTTGGGTCATAGGAAGTCGATGTAACTTCATAAACATTGCTTATATATTTCAAACTACACGCTTTAATTGATAAAACGAAACCAGATTTGTTGGATCATTTTACCTTTTTTATGTTACAACAAAGTAAACGACATCCCTTAACGTCGGCCCCAATTAGTCTGGGGCTGACATTTCTTGCCTGGAATCTAGGTCAGATGATCTTCAAACATAAGAAAAGTGTTCCAGTTTTTCACAGCTCATGTCACCACTTTTTGTTGTTTTGTTTGTTTTGTTGTGTTACTATACACGGTTAAAGCTGGCATATTTGTTGATGTAACATTATCTATGGATAGTGGCAAATGATAGTCCAAATAACTATTATGTACATTATATATTTAGAATAACTAGATAAATTATTTAACTGTCAAACCACCGAAAATACTATGTGAACTCCTTCAATCGCTACCAATAACTTATACACAATTTGACCTACCTTAGCGAGCATTTCAGTTTCTCTTTACTGTTCATCACCATGATTACTAAAGTTGTTGTTAGCAATTACAACGTTAACATGATAACCACACACTCTTCTTCATTTTACCATTTTGAAATATTTTCGGAATTAACGTGTCCAATAGTGTAAAGTTAACATCTATCTTACAGTTAAAACCTGTATCAAATTAACATCAACATCAATTCAACTTTTCTAGGCTAACCGTTTTTAGGTTTTGTATGCAGTTTAAATCAGTGTTTCTTTTATGTGAAGACGTCAGCCTTCTTTTTAGACACGTTTTCTTTCAATGTGTTTACTCATACCTTAAGGTTATTCATTGTGATTTAAGAATTTTAATGAAAATGTTGAATATGATTGCAATTGAAATATGAAGAGTACGAGAAAAAATGCAAATCTTTAAAATAGAAAAATAAGTAGTTAGCACTAATTTATACTAAGATTGTTGACACCGATTTAAAAATAATAAATTCACATGAAATATAGATTTCACTTGTGTAAACAATAAATATATGTAACAAAAATAAATAAGTTCATACGTTTTACGCATACTGGATACTACAATTGAAAATTGACAATGCTTTGTCTTTTCAAACATTGAAATAGCCTAATATTTCGTAATATAATTTTACAGGTGCTCTACTTGATTTGAGTTTTTAATTGCCCTTTGTTGGCGTATTAAAACAAAATTATAGAATAACTTACTATTTGTAAGATTAGGCTAACAAAAAATATGCTTACCTTCTTTCATTGGGAACACCAACCTCCTATGGATTGTAACTCATTAAAATATCTTGTCGTCACGTCTTGTAACTGTTAATTCTTAATGAGTCACGTGACTTGTATTTTATTGATAGTATATAAGGAATACTCTTATTGCAAAATCTGGTAATCGTCTTATCGAAAAGGATAATGTGGGATAACGTATTGAGTCGTAGTAGAATCATTGATCACAACTGTAGACTGTATTATAGGCCTCCAGTCAGATACATAGACAAATTACAAAATAATTGATCGCGGACGATATGCTCATTTACAGCACTAGAATTCACTACTAGGTTCAACGTCAATTGAATAATTTACGAGTCAAATAAAAAATAATCCATTTTTGGTGCAAGATGTTGAACGTTCGAGTGGATTGCTATAGCAAAGTATAATAAACCTTGTTGTAAATCTGTTAATCTTTCAAGAAGTAGGTGAGAGTTCAAAGTCAAAGAGGCTTATCGTTATGAGACTAATCGTGAATGCTATGGAGCAATTTTTTACGTCGGCCATATAATAGTCTAATTTGTATTCCTAAGTCCACGCTTGTCATCAATGCATAAACAAACTTTTTATCTTAATTTTTTTTACAATAACTTATAATATATTAATCTTTTTATAAATTACATTTAACATTAAGAGTCAGAGTCTGATAATAATGTGCTCCCTCTTTTTCCCATGGACTTGTTTCTCTGTGCCCTAAGTAGATGTTCATACGACTCCTGGAAAGAAAAAATCCTCATTTATTCATGTTATATTTAGTTATAGCTTATCACAGTCATCATTCATTTGCTTCATGCATTTCAAGAGTGTGGATTTTACTGCTAAGAAAATCAATTTCCTAAATTGGTTGGTTTTTGTATCATTTGACTTTGTGGGACTTTCTATCAATCAGCCGTTCCAGAACGAGATATCAGGACGGTTAAGCTACACGTTTTACAGTGAACTTGTACGTGAACGTGTTACTACTAACATATGACGTCTAAGGATTACTATTCCCCCTCAATTGTCAAGGAACCTCAATCTAATTACAACCATTTCCCTCATACCTTTATACTCAATCGGGCAAGTAAAGAAGGTTTAGAAGGAATGAAACCACACAGACTTTTTGGTAACTATAGAAACGATGTACATTAAAACATATTTTACCTTGTCGCCATGAGATAACTCCGCCCTTGCTATATCCAATGCATTATTCCTGTTACAACTGTAACATAAGCCTGCACCCTCAAGTAAAGCTCTACGGCGTCTTGCTTCGTTTCTTTCAATACATAACTGAAAAAAACAGAATCAATTGTGAAATTCATTAGTTTATTCTTTTCGAAAGTTTGAGGATGGTGAATAGTATAGGGTAAGCAAGACTGGAAAGCAGGCAACTGCACGGTGGCCTCTGAATCCGAAATGACGTGAATATTAGTACTGCCATCTTTAAATGCGTCAAATATTGTAAATGTTCATTTTGGTATCAACATTTTTAACTAAAACCTATTATTTATATAATTTCAATTTTTCAAGTTTTAAAATACTTACTCACCGATTGCTTTCTATTGTCAGGATGATCAGAGTTATAAATATTTTAGAAGATATTTGGGAGACACTTGTCAAGTTGTCAATTTATTCGATCGAATTTTGACCACTTTACAAAAAATGAGGCCTCTTTACATGCTTTAAAATCTCACTTTATCTGTTCATCGCTCCTTGTCTAATGTTGCCTAAGAAATTATATCTATTTAGAGCTGTTGTAAAAATACTATAGCCGTAGTAGAATGAGTCACTCTTCCATTAAAATATCTGAAAAAATAGAACTGAACCTGAACTCTGAACTGAACTATGACCGTTCAGGTGTCAGCTTCCATACTAAAATCAAGCATGGGCTTTCAACTAGATCTAATTGAAAGCCAATGGATCAAGTCACTCAAGTTCTTAAGAAACGATAGTTAATTCAATACTTACATTGGCTGCTATCAGTATAACTATAAGGATGAGAATGACCCCAACTATTGTGCCAATAACGATGCATATCATCGTTTTACGCCACTGGTCTGTCTTTTCATCCCATATTTTTCGATTCTCGCTATCAATGTACATGACTTGTTTGATCTGAAATAAATATTTATTATTTTCATAATCTTTAATTCCATTGTTACCAAGTCGCTAGAAATAGTTAAGATGTGAGGCTTAATTATGTTTTAATAGATGTCGCGTCATACTTATATCCTACTTAGTGTTTGCCATGGCCGTCAGAGACTTAGCAGAGCATCTTTCAAGATCGAGCACCGCTGACCCAGCTCATGGAAATAATCGGAATACCCATGGACAAGGGATGTGGCATTAACCATAATGAAGTCTAAGTTTTTGTTCCTCAAATGTTGCTCTTGGTACTTATTATTATGATAAAGATCAACTTACTCGATGATGCTTTAGGTCATGAACTGGAACAGGATCTTTGACGTTAAGAACTGGTATTGGTCTTCCATAGTTGTCTTTTAATTTCTCAAGTCGACTCTTGGCTGAAAAAATAAAACCACCATGGCATAACGATCATTTATTTTTTGAACCAATATTAGATCTAGACTTGGTTTAAATCACCGAGCCTTTAAAAACGTCACCTCGGTACATATCTGGAGATGATGTAAATGATGCACATTTGTTGCAAGATTAAATCAACTGGTACTTGATATTAAACCCCACTTATGCTAAATACAGTTTTGAACAAAATACGCCGGCCGATGAATCGGAGCAAATGTGACTCGGGCATTAGGTAACATCACTATGGAATGAACTGTAATTTTCAATGAAGGTACATAACATACATGTAGCACTTGTCAAATTAGCAAATTTTTTATTTTTAGAGATTACACGTATCTTTTAATAAGCGATAACTCACACAATAGCATAAATCTTCAAGTGTATTTTGCAGAAAAAATTGGTTCATAAAAAGGCGTGAAATGAATCCATGCATGAAAATGGTTCAGAGAAAAAATGCAATTTTAGTTCCATAGAAAGTATCATAGAAACCAATGGTACAATAATATTTAAATATATATTCTTCCCTTTAACCTGGTTTAAGGATTTAAGCCCTGAACTCAGTGCAATGCTGAATCATTCCTTTGAAGGTGCTGTTTCCAAATGTTTGCATGACCGCGCATCGGGAATGCAAAGTTTAGGGAACAACACCTGAGTGGAATGAAGCAGCCACAATGCATTGAGTCTTGGGCTTAAATTCTTTTCACTCACGCATTGCAAAATATTTCTACATAATCACCTAAAAGATACAACATCACCTTAAAGATACAGAATTTATTTTTGAAGTTTAGCATATTTAGAAAAAATCTGCAGTGGTGTAAAAATAATGCGTTTTGCACTTTTTAATATACAGCAGTGGAGTATTTGATGATTAAAACTTTTATTTGAAAAATGGCGAGAAATGAGAATATTTGAGAAATGAAAAGCCAACAACCTTTTTTCAAATCTTTTTTTAAATTGATAAAATATCTTTTAAAGTCATGACAAATAGTAAATGGATGATAAAAACATATTTTGACATAAGGACTTTAAAGCCAGCTGAACACCAAATGGTTTTATGATTCTAAACATGTATATAATTGGACGAGGACACTTACCTTCTTCTGGTACATATGGTTTAGTCTTTGGTTCCGAACTGTGTGTGGAGATAATCCTTTCGCCATCGTAACTCATCCAGTTTTTCCTTGGCGTATGGTGAACCATTTTACCGTTCTTATGATATTTATGTAGATTTTTCTTATGTGTCTTAGATTTCTCACTCGACTCATTCTGATTATTTTTCAAATTTCTCTCAGGGTGTGTTTTGTGGACTCTAACTTCAATACGTTTTTGTTCGTGTAGTTTGTTATTATGCGCCTTATGTTTCTTATGTTTCTCATTCGGTTCACTCATTATATATTTTGAATTTCTCCCCGCATCTGTTTTGTGTATTCTAACTTCAATGCGTTTTTGTTTGTGTATATTGTTATGATGTGTCTTCGATTTCACACTCGGCTCCTTTGGAACATCATTTGATTTCTTTCTTTCTGGATGCATTTTTTTGATTTCCACCTCAACTCGTCTTTGCTCGTGTCGTTTTTTATTTGGTGTCTGAGGTTTCTTACTTAACTTGTTGCGAATATTTTTTGATTTCTTCCTTTTCTGTTCCGTTTTGCTAACTTTTACCACCTCGTGTCTCTGTTTGTCCTTCTTGTGTGTCTCAGCTTTCTTTTTCAAATCATGCTTGGCGTTTTTCAATGTCCCCCCGATCTTTTCCGATTCAGTTTCGGCAATTCTTTCCTCGATGTCATTTTGTTCACGTGGATTATTTTTCATTGCTAGCTTCGTCTGTAGAACCGATGGTTCGATACTTTTCTCCTCATCACTTGGTATCTTTCGATTCAGGTGTCTATGCTTGCGCAGTTGGTCCATCCAAAATTGTTGGATAAGTTTCTTTCTGTCTGCTTGTTTCTTTTGAATCTGTTGTTTCTTGTTTCGTAAGTGTTGAATGCTAGCTGACGGTTGCTTTTGTTTTCTCCTATTTTTAGATTCCTTCCATTGTCTATATCTCTCTTTACGTAATTGTTTTCGTTTTTCCATCTGAGCTTTCCTTCTTCGTTCTCGTCTCTGCAAAAGTGCTAGCCTCTCTTTTTCCGTTGGAACATTTCTTTGTCGCCGTACTTTGGTTCTGTTTGAGCTGTTGATATTTTCCTTTTTAATTGACCCATTTTTCCTTTGTTTATTATGATTTCTCAACGGTTTTCCTCTGTTATTTTTCGATGACAGTGTTGGACCAATATGGTGTTTTAATGGAAATCTCTTCACATGCAATGTGATCGTTTTGTTCTCTGCTTTTGATATATGTATACGTTTCTTCTTAAACAGTTCTTCACTTTGTCCGGTATGTTTCTTTAATTTTTTCTTTCTCATTTTCTTCTTATCTATTTTGCTCTTTTGTCTCATCTGCAATCTCTTTATTGGTTGTGTTTTCCTAGATTGTTTGCCGCGTTTATTTTTAATTAGTTGTGTTTTTTTACTCAGATCTTTCTGTTTCTTTATTTGTTTCCTTTCTGATTGTTTGATTTGTTTCCTATTTTTACTTCGTGCATTTTGCCTTGGCTGTTTCTGTTTCTTCAATTTTTTCCATTTTTTCATTTGTTTATTTCCTTTTGATTGTTTTAACTTTTTTAATTGTATCTTTTTATTAGTTTGGACCTTGTTCTTGTGATCTTTGGTGCGGCCCTCCTTGAGGTTTCTTTTCTTTTGAAGTTTTCCGAGCTTTCTCTTTTTGATAGTGTTCTTCCTTGGACGTTTTACACGATTCCTCTTAATTTTGGCCTTTTCACTTTGGCCTTCGGTATCCTTCGTCTTGTAATGTAGTTTAGATTTCTTAAGATGAAGTTTCTCCTTTTGAAGATTTTTTTGCATCCCCTGACTTTCATCCTTTTTCATCTTTAGACGTTTTGGATGGATTTTCTTGAGCTTGGCCCTTTTCTTCTGATCTTTTGTATTTTTTGTGGTGCTATGGCGTTTCCCCTTCCTCTCAAGCGTTCTCCTTGATTTTATCCCCCTTAGAGTTTTTACATGATCTTTCTTGATTTGGGCCCTTTTCTTTTTATCTTTTGAATTTCTCGTGAGTTTTCTTTGCTTTCTCAGTTTACTTGAATTTTTTCCCTTCTGAAGTTTTCTATGTTTTATTCGTCTTCTAAGTTTGTTCTTCCTTAGCAGTTTTGCACGGTTCTTCTTGATTTGAGTCTTTTCCCCTTTATCTTTTGTATTTGTTATGATGTAATTGTGTTTCTCTTTCATCTGGAGTTTTCTATGGTTTCTCCTTTTGTCTTTTGTATTTCTTGTAATAAAATGGCGTTTGCCTTTCTTCTGAGCTTTTCTTTGTTTTCTCCGTCTTTTTAGTTTTCCCTTCCTCAGCGGTTTTTCATGGTTCTTTTTGATTTGGGGCCTTTCCCTTTTTTCTTTTTTATTTCTTGTGATGTAATGGTGTTTCCCTTTCTTCTGATGTTTTCTATGTTTTTTCCGTCTTCTTAGTTTTCTCTTCTTCGGCGGTTTTGCACGGTACTTCTTAATTTCGGCCTTTTTCCTTTTGTCTTTTGTATTTCTTATGATGTAATGGTGTTTCCCTTTCTTCTGAGGTTTTCTATGTTTTTTCCGTCTTCTTAGTTTTCTCTTTCTCGGCGGTTTTGCACGGTACTTCTTAATTTGGGCCTTTTTCCTTTTGTCTTTAGTACTTCTTATGATGTAATGGCGTTTCCCTTTCTTCTGATGTCTTCTATGTTTTTCCCGTCTTCTTAGTTTTTTCTTCCTCAAAGGTTTTGGACGCTTCTGCTTGATTCGGGTCTGTTTCCCTTTGTCTTTTATATTTCTTGTGATGTAATGTCGTTTCCCTTTACTTGGAAGTTTTCTTTGCTTTCTCCTTCTACTTGATTTTTTCCTCTTTTGAAGATTTATTTGCTTTATCCGTCTTCTTGAATGTTTCATCCTTGGACGTTTCGCACGATGCCTCTTGACTTTGGGTCTCTTCCTTTGATATTTTGTATTTCTTCTGATGTAATGATGTTTCCCTTGCTTTTTAAGCTTTCGTTGTTTTCTCTGCCGTCTCAGCTTTTTCATCCTTACACTTTTTGCACGGACCTTTTTGATTTGGGTTTCTTTCCTCGGCGGTTTTGCACGGTATTTCTTAATTTGGGGCTTTTTCATTTTGTCTTTTGTATTTCTTGTGATGTAATGGCGTTTCCCTTTCTTCCGAGGTCTTCTATGTTTTCCCCGTCTTCTTAGTTTTCTCTTTCTCGGCGGTTTTGGACGGTACTTCTTAATTTGGGGCTTCTTCCTTTTGTCTTTTGTATTTCTTGTGTGATGTAATGGTGTTTCCCTTTCTTCTGAGGTCTTCTATGTTTTCCCCGTCTTCTTAGTTTTTTCTTCCTCAAAGGTTTTGGACGCTTCTGCTTGATTCGGGTCTGTTTCCTTTTGTCTTTTATATTTCTTGTGATGTAATGGCGTTTCCCTTTACTTGGAAGTTTTCTTTGATTTCTCCTTGTACTTGATTTTGTCCTCTTTTGAGGATTTCTAAGCTTTCTCCGGCTTCTTGAATTTTTCATCCTTGGATGTTTTGCACGATCCCTCTTGACTTCGGCCCTTTTCCTTTGATATTTTGTATTTCTTCTGATGTAATGACGTTTCACTTGCTTTTTAAGCTTTCTTTGTTTTCTCTTTCGTCTCAGTTTTTTCATCCTTACACTTTTTGCACGGGGCTTTTTGATTTGGGTTTCTTTCCTTTTAACTTTTGTATTTCTTGTGATGTCATTACGTTTCTCTTTCTTAGGTTTTCTATGCTTTCTCTGTCTTTTTTGTTTTTTCTTTCTCATACGTTTTGCACGGTTCTTCTTTATTTCGGCCGTTTTTCTTTCATATTTTGTATTTTTTGTCATGTAGTGGCGTTTCCCTTTCTTCTGAAGTATTTCATGCTTAATTCGTTTTCTTAGATTTCTCTTTCGTAGCGCTTTTGTATGGTTCTTATTAATTTCGCCCTTTTTAATTTTGTCCTTTGTATTTCTTGTGGTGTAATGAGTTTTGTCTTTACTTAAGCGTTTTCTTAGTTTTCTCCGCCTACTTGATTTTCTTTTCTTTTGAAGAGTTCTATGCTTTCTCTGTCTTCGCAATTCTTTCTGCCTCGGAAGTCTTGCACGGTTCTTCTTTATTTCGGCCGTTTTTCTTTCAGCTTTTGTATTTTTTGTAATGTAATGTCGTTTCCCTTTCTTCTGAAGTATTTCATGCTTAATTCGTTTTCTTAGATTTCTCTTCCGTAGCGCTTTTGCATAGTTCTTATTAATTTCGCCCTTTTTAATTTTGTCCTTTGTATTTCTTGTGGTGTAATGAGTTTTGTCTTTACTTAAGCGTTTTCTTAGTTTTCTCCGTCTACTTGATTTTCTTTTCTCTTGAAGAGTTCTATGCTTTCTCTGTCTTCGTAATTCTTTCTGCCTTGGAAGTCTTGCACGGTTCTTCTTGATTTTGGCCATTTTCCTTTGATCTTTTGTATTTCTTGTGAGGTAATGACGTTTCCCTATCTGTTTAAGCATTCTTTGTTTTCTATGTCGTCTCAGTTTTTTCATCCCTCGATGTTTTGCACTGGCCATTTTGATTTTGGCCATTTTCCTTTGATCTTTGGTATTTCTTGTGTTGTAATATCGTTTCCATTTCCTTCTTGCTTTTTTCTTGCTTGGAAGTTTTGCATGTTTTTTCTTGGAAGTAGTATAGGGCATTTGTTTAAAGTGCATTTTTCTCAGCTTTCTAAACGATCTTCTTGTGTCATTTTCGTTCGGCTTATTGACAGACCGTTTGCTTATAATTGTCCTCTTAACTGGTCCTGAAATGTAATATCATATCGTAATAAATAAATCATAAGAACTAGCTAGGGCGATGGCTGAGTCCATCATTGAATCCACAATATAACGATCTAGTGACATTAACGTATGCTTGTTTAGTTAATCCATACAATCATAATTATATCAAATAAAATGAATAAATTAAGAGTAAACAAACCTTCCACTAAATGTTGTACATCTTTTCCCAGGTATGTCTTTGTGAATCTCATCATTTTATACAGGAAAATCTTCATGTAGAAATGCTTTGTATTGGCTCTGCTCAGCACAGAAATCTTCTTATTTGTGTCTGTGACAAATTGTTTTAAAGCATCCATAGACTCTTTGTTAGTTTTATCAAGAGGGTAAAGCTTTCGACCAATCAACATCTGCCCTTTGTACACTCTAGGTGGCATCAAATCATTGGCTGTTAACACATGTTTGTCTGACTTGGCATTTGCCTCATTTAAGGGACCGTAGATATTTGGAATAAAAGGCATGTAAACTCTTGGAAGTTGACCCTTGTATGTGTATTTAGATTGAGGACTAATTGTCGTCGACATTTTGTTTATAATTTCATGTTTTGGTGCTTTCATAATAGAAGCTACAGTAGTGGTTTTGTCATTTTTATCACCAGCCTGTGAGTTACTAGATAGAGTCGTTTCTGCGATGGTTGAGATTGATGCGCTTTTATTTTTATCTGATGACATCAATGGTGTATTTTGCTCTTTATTTATTTGTTCCACACTGGCGAAGGAATTCATTTCTTCCATTTCACGTTGCGCCAGCTTCTCATTGTAATTTTGGCTTGCGTTATCTCCGAGTGGCGGCCTTTCCAGATTATTCATTTTCAAGTTGTTTATTTCAGGAGTCAATACAATTATATTTTGTTGAGGAAGAGGAATTGGCATCCTGTCTATTTTTACAAGTGAATCTCTCAGTGTTTGTTTGGTGACTGAAATATCGTTCGAACTTTCTAACGGTACTTTAGTACTATGTGATGTAACGACAGTTGTTGGGGGTACTTGTCCAATTGTTATAGGAGTGTGAGTAGGTGCACGAGTGGATGATTTTGCGGGAATAACCGTGGCATTTAGCTTCACTTGCTTATCTGTTTCATGTTTAGCGCCAAGTTTTACTACTTTCTTTACTATGGGTTTTGATTGATTAACTCGCAATTGGTTTGGAATAGGGGTCGAGGATATATCATTTGCAAGCACATGATTAGCATCACTTTTGTTCGATTTCTCATCATGTACTGTTTCAACAGCTCTTGTTCTCCGAATTTTTCTCCGCTTGATTTCTATATTCTTCAGATGATTCTTTTTAGCTTCTTTGGTACGCCTGTCTGGTGGATAATTTATGTCAGGTTTTATTGTAGATGTTTGGATACGCTCGTCTGGATAATTGTCACGAGTATAATGCTTCTTTTTGACCGTTTTAATTCGTTTAACTATATTAGTATCAGGTGCATTCACACTTGTCTGGGTAAGAGCATCTTCGTCAGGTATTGCCGTTTTGGGTAACACTTTGTCTTTTCTTGTCGAGTCAAGATGCCTGCGAGGCGCGTTCCTAGTTTTCATTTTCATGAGGAGAACTCTAAGAAGCAATCGATCTGTACTGTCCAGGCCATTGCTATTTGACAGCTGTTCTTGTGGATCTGATTTGGTGTCTTGATGTTTGTTTTTTAGATTACTGTCCAAAGCTTCTTTCATTCGTCTTGGACCCGTGTCCTCCATAGTTTGACCACTGCTCTTATTTTCAATGTCCACCTTGTCGCCATTTGGCCCACGGTTGGTTTCTTTCTCTGATTTCGTTTTTACTTCATTTTGATTTTGACGTATGCTCTCTTTTCTGTGAACTCGATAATTATTTTCTGCCAAGTCTTGTCTGGTTTCTTTTCTGTGATTATGAGGTGGACGTTCAACAGTATGGCTATTGTAGTGACTTTGATACATTCTGGTACCTGTAGAAATAAAATATGAATCGTCATACATTGTACCTATCATTTGTAAAAGAAGTTGAGGTGTTCACATGGGCACAAGTCCAAGATAAAGATGGCAGTATTAAACCCCGGGGTTCACTGTATACAAAATTCAATATATCAATATATTCCCATAAAAATCTGTCAAATTTCAATGGGTTCCCCGACCAACCAAATTAACGCTAAAAACCATACCAAATGTCCAAATGTAAGACCAATGCCATAACAAATGTCCAAATATAGGACCAATGCCATACCACAAAAGAAAAAAATAATATTCAAACATAAATCCTCGAAAAGGAGGCAGATCTTTGAGAATTACAATCCAAAACAACCTCAAATTAAGGATTTGTGTAGCTACTAGACCAATGTCACATCACAAATGTGAGGTAACATATTTTACAGAATCATTCTCATACCAGAAAGTGGAAAAAACCCAACATTCCCATACCTCAAAGTAATAATTTTGGGGAGCATTCTGATACCAGATCTTAAAATTTGTGTCCATTGCCATACCAAATGTCAAAAAGGTACCTCATGTGCGCCGAGGATCCCCGTCAAAGTTTACATACAGTGAACCCCCCGGGGTATTAACACACATGTTTTTAAAACAGAAATGCATTCGTAATTTACAATTACACAATTTACATGTACATCAAGTTTCACCCAGAAGGCACGACATATAAAATTAAATTCACATCCATTATTCAACATATGTACGAGCTAACTAACTGTGAATGATGGTTTTGATTTTTTTTAGAAATAGAAGGTACATTTTACAGTATGAAACTCCGGCGCCGTTTTAATACTCATACAGTCATAGCGTTATGGACTTCAAACGTAAGTGAAGGTTATCCGCAAATGACCCAACATTGGGTAGGTAATTGTCTTAGGTATAACAGTAAAAAATAATTTGTGAAAAATAGCATGCTCCCAACGGCAGACAAATCTTTCGATCCCAACCCGTGGTATCCTAGAAAGTCTAAAACGTACTATCGATTAGCTGGTTACATGATAATACTGGCCATTGGTACTTTTTCTATTTTCTGTGTAATAGCAAGTTTTTAGGAGTTTCATCTATTTCGTGACAATGGTACAAACGAAGGCACTTGTAGTTCAAAAACCTTAAAGTCTTTATCCAGATATAAAATACTTAACATCTTGTCATTGCATATTCCTGGTTTATTCCCATTTCGCCCCTCATTTATTCCCATTTCGGCCCTTCCCCATTTCGCCCATTTCCCATTTTGCCCCTTTGCCATTTCAGCCCTTTCCCGTGTTGCTCCCTTCCCATATCTCCCCTTTCCCTTATCGCCCCTTCCCATTTCGCCCCTTCCCATGTCGCCCCTTTCCCATTTCGCCCCGTCCTATTTCGCCCCTTCCCAATTGGCCCCTTTCCCATTTTGCCCCTTTGCCATTTCACCCCTTGTCTATCGCCCCTTGTGTCAGAACTGGTAACATATAAGGAGATGCAAGCTGCATGCCAGCTTTAAGCTCCACCTACTTAAACATCGCATTGACCATTGACCATTGGGCGAAATGGGAAGGGGCGAAATGGGTAGGGGCGAAATGGGAAGGGGCGAAATGGGAATAAATGAGGGGCGAAATGGGAAGGGGCGAAATGGGAATGAACGAGGGGCGAAATGGGAAAGGGGCCAATTGGGAAGGGGCGAAATGGGAAGGGGCGAAGGGGGAATGAGGGGCGAAATGGGAAGGGGGCAATTTGGGAAAGGGGCAAAATGGGAAGGGGCGAAATGGATAGGGGCAAAATGGGAAGGGGCCAAATGGGAATAAATGAGGGGCGAAATGGGAAGGAGCAAAGTGGGAAGGGGCGAAATGGGAGGACACCCATATTCATATTTTCGGCGTCCATACTTTTTCAAAATCAAGAAAATAGGACTCGGAACTCGTTTAGGTTAACTAATCAGTCACAATTGCGGGCAATTGCGTATAGAAACTCACAAATCTTTCGAAGATTGCCAGAACATTGCGGATTGTGCTTGTAGCTGAAGACATTGACGTTATCCCTTTTCTTCAATTGTTGGAGAAATAACCACCACTTGCAATCACATCTCTTCACATTGTGAGATAAATATCTGGAAGAAATAAAAATGTACAATTTATCAACACCTTGATGACAGCTTATAATTTCAATAACATAGATATTTACTATAATTCTATCTAAATGAATCGTATTGCACGGAGACTGATATTAAATCGACTTTATTCCAATCATTCATAAGACGCAAATTGACCATGGTTCACTGCTGAATTTTCGAAAGTTGCATGTTAACCAATGAAAGATGATATAGGATTGCTGGGAACAGCTATAGAACATATTTAATGTTGCATGGTAAAATAGTTACATTTGACATACATTGTGTTGACGATCGCGATCGGATTGCTAACTTTATTTGACAAAAATTTACTTACGTGTCAATTCAAATTATATATCGCATGAAGTATCATATTATGAACATGGTATTATTTGCAATTTTCTTTAATCGATAGGGTACGTGGAACTTACATTTCTGTCACCGTAGGCGTTACACATTCTACGATAACGTTATTCAAATCATCGGGTAGTAGCCGACCACGACATTCCAGAACGTGATGTCTCACGTGACATGATGAGGGGCATCTTTGATGACTCTCTATGAGGCTAATGGATGCCCATATGATAACTACCAATGTTACAGGAAACTTTGTAATCATAGCTGAAATAAAACAACAAGATATAGCAACCATGCAGTAGCACCTAAGGGCGTGTGGAGGTACATTGTTTAAGTCTGGGACTTTGGTTAGCCTTGCCCAAGTCGGTATTATCTTATATTATCTTATTTTTCAATTGTAAAACTAAAAAACTAAAAATACACCGACTTCGGCAAGGCTAACATGATAGCATATAATAAAAAGTATAAAATATAACATGATTTATCACAATTGAACGGTTATGCTGAGTGCAATTCATAAATGTGCTCGTCATTTCTATATCTAATAAGATTTGTGCTTCATTCTTAACTCAAATTAAGATTCGTTGATAATAAACCAGTCCTTAAAGTTTGGGTTTTATGACCTTTCAAAACATGTGTTCGATATGACCACCTCGACGTCGCAGACACTCCTGAATGCGACGCACAAAGTTGTCAATTACGCAGACACACTCCCCGGCACACTCTGTTGGGATGGTTCTGATCTTTGCGGTGATTTCTGTTTTCAGGTGTCTGATTATCTGGGGGTGGTTTTCATAAACAATGGTCCTTAAAATCCCACACATAGAAGTCTGGGACGTTGAAGTCAGGTGAGTGTGAGGCCAAATCATGGCCACATCAGATTAAATCATGTGGTAATGTCAATACACTCACAAATGAACTATTGAGAAGCAGGTGTAAAAGAAATGATGGTCCCCTGGGGATTATGGTCCCCTTTCCTTATGGCCCTTACTGGCCCTGACTGTGTATAGATAATAAGGAAAGTAATTGTCACCATATAAATCAATAGAGAGTAGGACCAAAATTTGATAGGACCACCTACCCTTTTTAAACCGTACGAGTTCCACCACTCACTTTAGATTAGCACATCGCCGACTTTTATAAAAAAAAACACAATTCAAACCATTATTTACCAAATGTACTCTAATTTTACCCCTTTTTAATTGCACAAATTTTGATGATCTCTTCTTTCCGATGAAATCAAAAATGTTGAAAATGGTGACATATGGATCGAATACTATTCAAAACTCAAAACAAGGTATTTTTTACTAAAGACCTTTAACTACCCTGTATAGTAACAAACATTGATGGACTTACCTATTTTAAGGGGTATACTCTCATTTGTGATGACTTAAAAATCATGCACGGATTCTTCATTCTCGACTTATTTTGTTATTTCCAAAATGGCCGACATCACTAATAGGAACAATGACGTCAATGTTAACAAGTAATATATGTGACGTCATCAAACGTCGCTATGTCGACATCGATCGCTTAATAATATAGAACGATGACGTCATATCAACAATTGATATATTTGACGTCATGAAGTTTCCTTGTATCTCTATATAACGTTTTTCGTCTGGTGTACCAATGTCCCGGGAAGGACGACTGACCAATCTCTCAGCGGCTTACAAACTGCTGACAAAAGGCAGTATCTGTGATCCATCCCCAATGACTCCACAATGCACCATGGACTTTCTAGATCTATAGAAATCCGGACCATGGATGTTCGCCTATCATCACAGTCAAGTATAGGCTATAAGGGAACATGGGGCAAAACGGCCCTAACAATCAAATTCAAATTCAAAGGTCATCGCGACCTTTGATGTTCCACTTTATCAATGGGTTGTGGTTTACATTTTGAGAGTGTTTTATACTTGCCTAGGACTATCTACTGTGATTTTTCAATGGTCAAAAATAATGCCGAGAGTGGGGCAAAACGGCCCATGGGTGGGGCAAAACGGCCCACAAATTACAGGACTCGTCCACACACATCTTATCCGTCAGATGTTCAAACCTTTGACAGATAAAGTATTTTTAACCCCTACCATAATTTTAGTTATCGATATGTGTCAGAAGGAAACAAGGTACAAACCAAATGTTAAAATCGTTATATTTGAAAATCAATTATTATTTTACAATAAGATTTTTGTATGTTATAACCCGTGTGGGCCGTTTTGCAGAGACATGTGAATTTTCAGTAGTCATTTTAATTTACCTAATACTTGAAGCTCGAAATTTTGACACATAAAGAAAAAATATGCATACTCTATGTAAAATATTAATGCAAAAAGATATTCTATTGTTGCCGGATTTTGTAGAGATTCTCGTGGGAGGGGTAATTTGCAAAAAGAGATTGAAAAGTAGAATTACCTCTTACGTAAGGCAAGACGCTGCTAGATTAAAAAGGGCGGTCGAGAAGGTGGCGGAAATTTCAAAATTTGATTATGTGACTTTTGAAGAACCATCTTTTTATAGTTCAAAATGGGCTTCGATGGGCCATTTTGCCACACAGGGCCGTTTTGCCCCATGTTACCTTAGGTTATTAAAGTCCATTGGACCATGGACGTATATCAACCTCTAGATAGTCTCTGGTCATTGATCTTGCCTCATTTAGGCGCCAGATTCAAACGGCGGCACTTTTCCCAAAAGTGACATTTCTGTCCCACTTCTGTAGGCTTAGGCCTAAGTATGTGGTAAAACTTAGATTAAAAGTAGTTATCTGATAGAACGGGGCCCTTCTTGCCATTGTAGATAACCAATGTATCTTGTTTCAATAAACATGTAATGGGGTCAGCGGACAGAAAAACAAGGCCGATAAAATGACTGCTTTTGGACACGTCTTGCCCCATTCTGATTTATCAGAGTCTTTATCTAGAGCTTATTCAAAGCAATAGAAGAGATTCTGCATGAATTCTACAATGGTCTTGCCCCGCTGTCTCCACCATTATGACTCGGGAATTAAAGAACGGGGACATATTATATATCTGTTACAACTTTTATCAGCCAAGTATCGTTATGAAATACTGTTTTATAACATCAGTTGAAATAATCGACTCTGACTGATCAAAGACTAGTCAATAATTTTGGCTGTTGACCGCGGAATGCATTTATTACTACGACAGCCACCATGATAAACCATGACATCTCATTTCTTCTCAGCCTTGAGATGTTTCAGGTGAAACAGAAATATGCTATGAGTATCAGAATGACTAAGCTTAAGCTTACAGTGGTGAATTTGAACTTACTTGCCCTATGAGTATAGAGGTATAAGGGTAATAGTGTTGTCAATAGAGAATTTTCGTTATAAGTTGTTTCAAAAACTTATACGTATACTTATAGTTTGAAGGGTCTTGTCGAACTAAAATCAATTCAAATTGATTTTCATAATCTGTACCAAGTGGGGCATAACTATTCCCGATATAGTCAACCTCCATCATCAACTAGGGACTGCGAATACAATGTCCTTTGCTAGTGTCAATTATGAACACGATAAACTAAACGCTAGTTGACGGGTCCTTGTAGTGTACGATAAAGAAGACCCTTTAAAGTGAATCACTACACGAACGAGTCGATCATTTCAAAGTTCTCATGAAATTATAAGGTCAATTTTTAAGTTTTTACGTATAAAAGGGCCTTTATACGCAGATTATAAACTTACAGAGTTGGATCTCCGCATAGTATATGTGTGGACCTACTGACCAGAATGGCTTATTAAAATTAATCGGCTGAATAGGCATAGTATCCAATCAAACAGCTCGACTCATTCATTAGCTGAACTAATTCTCCCTTCGTTATTTCTACAAGGTGATTCAAAACGATCATCTACAAAAAATATATTTGAGAGTAGATAAATCTGTGAAACCCGTGTGCTATATCAGCCTATTTGATTCTAGAAAACACATATGACACAACTAAACATGCTTTACATCAAGGGGGTACGGATGGTATGCCATTGGCCCTTTTTATTACCGTCCTAGGAGATATTTCCCGACGAATTAAGAAATTATGAAACACCTTGTTTATTGGGTTTATAAGTATAAGTATACGTATAAGTTTTTAAAAAACTTATAACGAAAATTCTCTATTAAGTCTTGGAAAAATTAATTGAAAGGGGGACAGTAGTCCCTGGTGGGTCAAATGGTACAAATTCTCTTAAACAGTTAAATCCTGAGGCCCGGGTATACAGCTAGTCATTAATAAAAAATCAGTCTTATTCTTATTCAATGTAAGTAATATAGTAGTAAAAGATTAATATACATGTATAAACCACGCATTACCAACTCAGTACACTAGGGGACTTTTAAAACATTTTTAACGTATTCCTGGGCCTCAGGTTAAATCCTCCCTATGAATATATCAAAGGTATGCGGCGAATTCTATCGACCTACGTATTTGTTGTTACTCTTCTATGTGGCCCTTCGCTTCATCTCGCTAGTCACTGAACTCCGACAGATCAGTTTCCAGGACGGATTTTTCTAACACGATAAGGCTGCAACCTCTCTCATCTCAGTATGTGCTCTGTTGTTAAATTACGAAGGACTAATAACAGCATACAATGGGGGTTCACCCTGGAGGGAGGCGTCGACCAGGGGTACCCTTTATACATAAAAACAGTAAGTAGTTTCCGAGTTAAGTTAAGAGTGGAATGTCAAAATTTTGCATGTAGTTTATACCGCTGGTTCACAAGGTTATTTTGCACCCAAAATAACTATTTACTAGTCTATCCTAAAGCGTAAAGTAAATGTTCAGTCAAAACTAAGTAAATAATGCGCTTGCCTGTGTATTCATTGTTTATAGTAAGTTTAAAAAGTGATGGACTAAGTTTAACGTGTGGGAAATATTTTTATTTCTGATCAATCATCAGACCTTATATACAATTTTCAGACCTAATTACCATTTCAAAGCTCAGCTATAAATCAACAAAACATAAACGTGCGTACTAATATTTTGAGTTCTCATTTACAAAAATGTAATGAATCTATTTTTGTTTGCGATCCGTTTTGATGGGGTTATCAGTTAACACTCAAATATATGAGAGCCACCTCTCCTGCTCTGCTCCATGTGGATGAATACCTTTCAGGTGTAAATAAACATTCAATGATATCATCATGTTACACTGGTTGTGCTTGCTACCTATTATGGTACTAGCACTAAATGAATCGTTGATAGCAAACTATCAGCGTAAACAGTGATTTTATGCTCATTTTTTCATACATCTGTTTTTATGAGTCAATGGTTTATGTCTGGGTTAATGGCACGGGGTTTATTCTATCGGTCGTTGCACTTTCTAACTGGAGGAATGTCCTGTCCTGGTGATTCAGTGTACATACCGATATCCCATGATAATTTGGGGATATGTATTTTATCTGACCCTTTAATTATGATAAGAGCATATTGGGCGTAGTTTAAATTATAACGTCTGTCAATTATCCGCTTATGGATAAAAACAATATCCCCCGAGCATCATTGGATATCATTAAGGCCATTAAGTTTTCTAATTTTATACACGAATAACAATTGTCCGAAATCAGTTAAGGTCAAAGGTAACACCAGGACACTGAACCATCAAACTCTGTGGTATTTGGTCTTTACTGTGGATGCGGAAGAACGCTTGGAAATAAGAATATAGCTGTAAATATAGCATCGCAACTTTAAAAAAAATCTTGATGAACAGATGGCCGTGTGTAATCTGTGGCTGTTTGGCTTTTCACAAATTGGTAACAAGTATTGGCGAGTTGGCGAGTTTCTGAAATGTAATTAATTGAGGTATGCTAGCTTCAGATTGTACCGGGAATGCGGTGTGTTATCCGAACGTTATTGCTTTCTGTGCTTGTACAAGGGGAGATATCAACAGTTTAATTATCACATGGAGAGGCATCTGGAACATCTCAAAATGATCTGATAGCGCACAGCATGTGGTTGCAAAATGCATATTGTTGGCAGCTATGAGATTGGCCAGATGAGGGCCTGAAAATTAAAACGGAGGGAAATAAGAGGCATATTTTGAAGCGAAGCTGGGCCTGAGATAAGGCATCTTCGCACGCTTTATCTTCACTGCGTTCATACGACCGACGGATGTCCACTAGAGGCAATCTGCGCGAGATTCCATTTTTTGGTTCGGTTTTTAGCGCATGCGCATTAAATCCAGCAATGTAATTGGTTTAAATTTTTATCACGCATGCGCAATCGATAACTAATAAGAACATTTAATTTGAGATAGGTGTCACTTACGTTCATTATTTCACAGCAGTCCCTACCCATGATGCACCATATAGAGCGGGAATATTTTTGTTAAGTGTCAAAACAAAAAGTATACACCCAAAACAAATGTAATGACATAATATCAATAGCCCCGGATTTGTAGACGTGTTTTGCACAAACTTAAACCGATCCGATGGCAGAAAAGCACTTTAAATCATGGGAATGAAGTACTTCCTTTAATGAAAAACCGAACCAAGTAAAAACCGAATCTCGCGCAGATTGCCCCGACTCCGGATGTCGAGTGAGCGAAGATGAGGACAATAGGGCTCACAATTAAAAAAAGTCCACTACTTGTTGGGCTTACTTCACGAAGTCAGACCCACCCTAGATCCTCCAGTGATGTATTGGTCACTATTACATTCTGGTCTATTCACCCTTCAACTCCTTTTTAAGTCGGGGTTTTCTCTTTGGGGACTGGAGTTGGTCAACTCACGGACAATCAGATCATCTGTTATTTTTAAATCTATTAGTCCTCTCATCTACCGATACGGTCAATATCCTGGTGTTTTTACTCGTCTCAAGTCCCCGGTTAGAACTTACATGTTTCATTTTTAAATCTCATTCACTTCTGTTCTAAAGTAGTTTTCGACTCGTGCGACCTGAGCTTTGCCATACCTTTGCATTAATTCTAGGTTGGCAGGTATGAAGCTGGTAATTAAGAAAATCGGTTTTAAGAGCTTGTTATAATTTTGGCGTATCTTGGTCTTGAGCTAGAAACAGTTGTATTTACACTACTGCCGTATTCAAGTGCTGTTGTAATGCGGCCAATCAATGTGGAATTGTTTTGCTTTCGGTCTAAACTTAGCTTCCCCAAGTGGCTTGCATACTGTATAGTTCCTCATCACGCCAGATACATAGTGCAAATATTATGGACTTAAATCCTCGAAATGTTGTGATATTTTTTCTAGCATAGTAACTGGATTGTGCACATTATCAGCAGTACAACAGACAATGAATGGGCACTCCATAGCCCAGATATGGCCCCTTTTAATCTTTACCAGTGGGGAAAGTCCAAAGATAGAGTGTAGGGTAATATCACCAGAAAGACATTTGACCTCAAAATAACGATCACATGTGTCGTTCAGGCCATACTTGCTGAGGAATGCTGTTATGTCATTGACAGGTTTGGAAAACGTGTGCAGGTTTGCCTATAGCACGATATTGGAAAACTGGGGCACCTTGTTTAAAGTGCTGTAACATTGCGACTATCAGTCCAATGTTCATGAAATATCACAGTCTAGTATGAAATTGAATGATGTACATGTGTGCCAAATATCAGGGCAAAATTTCTAAAAATGACCCTGTACATTGTTTTCGGCGAAACCAGATTTTTGGATTTAATTCCCAGTTTTAGAAAAAGTCTGTAAAAAGAGTTCTGTAAATTTTGGCCACGGGATTTTGGCGAGGTAGTTGTCAGGTTTTCTAGCCGATCATGTCATACCTGGCTACGCCTACATAGGTGCAATTTAGGTTTTTAGCGATAATCCACTTGGTAACATTTTTTTGATTGTTGATGTTCATCCTTTAAATGCATACCTTGACCGTCAGTTAAAGTTATTGGATTAGATTATTTTGGAAATATGATAAACTATTTTCGTAGTTTTCTGTCTACTGAAGCTATTTATGCGTGGAATATATTTGGTAATTGCTGAAAATACACAATATGTTGGATCGTCAGTGACTCAAGTAGAAACAATGCACGAATACCAAATTGTAAATGTTTCCGAAAAAAACATACATCCACGTGCTTATAATTATATGAACGAAGGTATGCTAATGAAAGACCCCTTGGTTTAAATGTAAGATGGTCGATTGAAATGTAATGATACCTCCACTGATAAAATAAACATGAATTTTCATGGGTTCTTGATTTGGATGCGTTTGATGTCTATTTTTATATACAGTAACATCTTTTGAAACAAATACTCAGCTACAAAAAGATCGAGTCAAAATTAATTAATACTCACACAAATAAATTAATACTCACACGGAAATCAAAAGTATTCCACCGCCCAGTGTATATGAGGTCATCAAAATTGAATAGAATCTAGAAAAATGCCTTAGATAAGACTAGGATGCATGCCCGTAGTCGGGGGGGGGGGGGGGGGGAGGGGCGGAGGGTGCAGCCGCTCCCCCTGGCCAGAAATTTTTCAAAATCATGCAGTTTTTCACTATTCTGAGCACTTAACGCATGATTTTTTGCCAAAAAATGTCAAAAAAGCTCCTCCTTGGTAAAACCGCTCCCCCAGATAAATCCTGGCTACCGGCCTGGGATGATTATAATTGAATTTAATTTGTCTGCAGATAGTCCCTGGTTCGCCAGCACAAAAGCACGGACTTGCCCCTGGTGATGCAGTTATGAGGATAGGATTTGAGGACTGTCCCGGCATGAATCTTTCAGCTGGGAAAGCAGAGGTTCTTAGACAAGGGAATCAACTTGATCTCGTGGTGGAAAAGTAAGAATTGTCTCGTCACGTGTTCACATCATGGGCATGTCAGACTAATTATCACGCACAGAACAGCTACTAAATATATAGTAAATAAATAAATACGCTAACGACATCTGTAATTCAACAGCTTTATACCTGTAGTCATTTAATAGCTTTTCAAACTTCTATTAAAACGTCCCAAAACAATAACATAAAACAACCATTTATTGTACAAAACAGAAAAGAAAGGGCGTAGATTCGATTAACTTCTTAATCGACGTATTTCCTTCAACAGGGGTGCAGTACAACCAGATGATCCCAGAGTAAGAGCAGCGGCTGAAAATGCGCCGCGTGTGGAGCTCGTAGAGGAAACATCACCTTTCATCAATCAGCCAGGATCAGGGCCAAAATTTAAAGATGTTAAACCTAAGACATACACCGTCTTGGATCAAGAATTACCAGAATCTGAAAAAGGAGGTGAGTACGGTTGCTGTTGACGACACTGGTGGTCCCGAGGGAAGAGACTCCCCGGGGGAGACTCTTACCAAAAAGATTGTGTTGTACTACATGAATTTTCGAAAATTGGCCCATATTTTCAAAGCCTTGGCTGAACTTAATATTGTTACAATTCGTAACAGACATTAGAATCAAAAATAGCCTGGGTTATAGAAATATGGCAATTTTGTTTATCGTATACTTGACATTAAAAAACTACACTGCCATCTTTATACCAGCTAAGTATATTACTTCTATGAATAAAACCATACCAGCAGTCACAATGAAAAAAACATAGTACTCCAGAAAGAAAGCACATAATAAAACAATCAATACTACTTCTCTTGATCTTCCCTAGCCTTGCCCAAGTCGGTCTCTTTTACTAGCGAGATCTTCCTTTACTGCTTCCTATTCTGATGTTTCAGGTGGCAAGCCATCCAGTATATTCGACAGAAAGCGAGAGGAAAGAAGCAAATACCAACAAGCTACAGGACCCACGATTCAAAAGGCTTACGGACAGAAGAAATAAACTGAAAATATTTGTGTCTTTAATACATGCGCCGCTGTGATCAATGTTTAGATGTGCATGTTTCATTATATGTGTCTCTGCACTATTCAAATTATTCACATATGCTTAAATCTATATACAACTGATTACGTGGAGAAACTGACGGACGGATATAATCACAATATAGACTATCATCGTGCCACACTAAAGTTTTTTAACATTTTATATTTTTGGCCATACCACTTGTATACTGTAACCTTATAAGGCACAGATTATATCATCACTAAAAACATGCATTGTGAAATTGTTATAATTCAATGTTCTATATTATATTATATTATATTATATTAATAAATGTTATTCATGAACTATAGTTTATTGTGGAAAGGAGTGGTTGCTAGCTGAGGTTTGCACATAAACAGTTTATGTCCATAGTCATCAGTAATTTTCCTATTTTCAAATGATTTTGTTTACCTCTGGTGAAAATGACCTTGACCTTTTATCAATCACAGTGTGTGACCTTCATATTGACATCTTATTGCTCAGCTTGTATTCGCGAATTCAACTTTCAGCTACCGGATAAAGGTATTTAAATGAGTTGCCCATAAAAATAGGTAAATCTGGTAGCCAGTAACCATTCTTCGCATTCACGAATACAAGCTAAGTGATAAATTGAAGATTACACAAGCTCAGAATAAGAGCTACATGTAATAGAGAGATTTTGCAAGATCACATATAACTTATTCTTATAAATTACTCTAACTAGAATATAATTGAGAGATTTTGCTGAAAGTCTTTTGTCGCTAGTTCTATGCTTGTATTATAAGCTCTTGTAATGATGTATCCCAATTTCGATCAAATTGGGTCGTGAATCGCTATCATAATAGCATCTTTGATATCATCAATGACAACGGAATCTGAATTTGAAATAATTTACAAAGACAACGGCATATGGTAATACAGTGTCCGTTGTCCCGTATCTCATTTTGATTGGTTAAATAAAAGACTTTGTTTCGATGGTAGAACATTATCAACTGTACAAAGAGTATAAAGACACTTTGTTTGATCGTTGTTCCAAAGGAATTTAGTCTAGGTGCTCTATTAAACATACAGTTCATGAAAATCTAATTGAAATGACGATTATGTCCGCCATTTGTGACAACGGTACCTGACTTAACCATTGTCACCATTCTGGTGTGATTATACTTGATATATAGTATATCCAAAGTTATTCCATAGTTAGCATGATATTCATAGGATAACATGTGAAAATAAAAACGGTATTTTTGTAATCAGTGGTAAAATATGATATTTTTAACAAATTTTCACTTAACCATAGCATACGGTTTTTTAGCCATGACATACGGCGCCGTATGCGATGGTTTATGGAGTTATGCTACTTCAGACTCAAAACGAGGCTAAGTGTCAACATCGCCGGATCGTTTGGAAAATTCGAATTAAATAACTTAATTTCCGACGATTCTGATGATGGCTTTAACTATGGAATAAAAAGAACATCCTCTATTTATTCCATAGTTAGCATGATATTCATAGGATAACATGTGAAAATAAAAACAGTATTTTTGTGATCAGTTCTAAAATATATTTTTGATAAATTTTCACTTAACCATAGCATACGGTTTTTTAGCCATGACATACGGCGCCGTATGCGATGGTTTATGGATTTTTGCTACTTCAGACTCAAAACGAGGCTAAGTGTCAACATCGGCGGATCGTTTGGAAAATTCGAATTAAATCACTTAATTTCCGACTATCCTGATGATGACTTTAACTATGGAATAAAAAGAACATCCTATGATTTACTCGTGATATGATTTTAATCCACTCATGGATATTGATATCTGCACTCTCTCGCTACGCTCGCTCGTGCAGATATCATATCCATTCGTGGATAAAAATCATATCACTCATACATTTTAAATCATAGGATATCCTCTATATATATAGTGACAGTGGTAAATCACTTATATACATATTACAATATGAACATCTGCATCAAGGTGCATTCTGGAAAGGGAAGCAAAATCTGATTTAAATGGGGCTTTCAAACAAGAGAATGACCTTACTTGACCTTTATTCAATCAGGCCAAAATAGGCTGACATTGCAAAAATTAATATTCATGATACAAAACTGCAGATTATTTAATCTTAATATCTAGTACATATTCATTTTATTTAACTAATGTATTATACAGATAAATGCTTGTGAATATGAACATCCCTAAACCAGACAATAACACACTTCGTATTTTCCACTGTTCATATGACTTTTGAAATTGTTTCACTAAATCATTGACCTGGGAGTTCAAGTATTTAATGTCTTTAGAATTGTCAATGATGTGAGTTGCACGCTTGCATTTTTCAGCCAATGGCATTTGAACATTTATTCTCTTCTGAGCCTCTTCAATACTGAAGTCATCACGGTTCATCAGTCTATCAAGCTGAGTCTGGTCATCACTACAATGCAATTTAAGAACAAAGGAAATACATAGATTCTTCCATAAAAATGTACTTTCAACTGATTCAACTTTGAAAAGACTGTCCCAAAGAGAACACAAGGCATTAACATGCAAAATGTTACCACTTGCCATTTGTTACAGACACCAAACTCCGAACGGCAGACATCAACCACTATCTCTAAAAAGTCAAAGACTATAACAATATCTCGTCACTTGTAGTGGTGACATGATAATTTAATGCTCATTTTTTTTTTTTTTTATATTTATTTATTTATTCATTTATATAATATAACAGTACAATATAGTCCTGCGGCTGGGCTTAAAGCATTATTAGCCACATCTAGAATACTTATATAAAGGGGTAAAAAATAAAAATTGTAAGCCTAAATGGTAAAAGGCTTAAACTGCCTGGGGTCTTTCGAAACACTGTCTGATAAACAGAGCACTGGATGCTCATTCTAAAGTTAAAAGACATGTAGGTTTTGCATTTTATTTTGAGCATAACATAGTAAGCAATGCAAGAGATAAATTTTAGAGATATTCACAATAAAGCATTGACTTACAGAACTTTGACAAGTGCTACATTTACAGAGGTGTTCAACTTTACAATTTAACTACCTATCTAGATTAAACAAAGAGCTATTTTGAAGTCAAGTTTAATGGTACAGGTATGTTTTAGTCTTGCATCAAGTATCTGAATTTCCCCGCATATGCATGTAATTTCTGGGTGAGATATGTTTGGAAGAAGAAATACAAAGGCTTCATGCAAGACTATGGACATATCATTTTCACTTACCATGTTACCACAACAACTTTGCTAACCACTGATAGCCATCTTTTTGTTTCAAATAAAAGAGGCACATCTAATACTGCAAACTGACATCCTGAAATAATACAAATTAAGGTAAGTTCCATCATTATATACCTCTTTATTATCATAAGAAAACATATACATAAGATTGTAAAGTTTCAGAATCAAGGGGCATCCCTGAAAAAAATACAATGTATTAAAGTATTTGTATGCGGGTAGGGGTAATTTGTTAGCATTTTTGTAAGCATTTTAAGACCCAGTCGGGTGACCTGTTCACTTTGTCCGTTACCCATTTTTAGTGATAAATGTGGTACCACGGTCCCTGGCCTCCATAAAATCCACTGCATGAACCCTGTCTATATCTTGTGAATAACTGTCACAGACATGTGGACTGAACTCTCATGATGACAACTGCTAGAAATGTGTGCAAAGAAGTTTTTTCCTTTAAATTGCCCTCAAAATAACCAGAAATTGGCCCTAAATGTCCCCATACCCAAATACTTCGATATGTATTATTTTCAAGGACTCTGAAACTTTGCAATCTTATGTAACATTCTATGAGGTACAAAATGATATATAACATGATAGGGTGGCAATGCCAGCTATATTATTTTAGAGCGGGGTGCATACATATGGAACACCCTGTACACTTAGGATTAAGGGATCTACTGTATGAAGACCTATAAATATATTTCAATGTTAGAATGTAGAATATTTAGTAGGTCACCTCAGTCTATCAGAAATTTCTGGATCAACCAAAGTACAATGAGAATAAGTAGTCCAGAAACATTAAGTATGAGAACTTTTGCAACTTTATAACTGAAGAAATTCTTACCTGAAGCAAAGCACTTTAGTATAGCTAGAATCATGACTTTTGCGATTTCTCTGTGTGTGATTGTATTAAGTTGGTTTCGCTTATTCTCATCACTAAATACAATTTCTCCCAATTGTTTTCTGTCTAGCTGGCCATCGGGGAAAAATACATCTGCCCCAAATGTTTCTTTAATCTTTCTCCAAGCTGGTTTCCCTGGTTCAACAACTGAAAGTGATTATGTAGAGTATGAAATAAATGAAAAACACAGTAGAGGAACTTACATACAATGTATATACACATGCATTGTTTCCAGTACCTATCAGGAAGAACAATCAATGTAATAAATTCAGCATAAACATAAACAAGTTTCATTCAATTACGTTGATAAACAAATAACAAACATGAATGAGTTTTGTTTGGCGATATTACATAATGTTACATAATATATTTCTAAGTACTAATTGAAATAAATGAAACAATTAGTTTCTGATCGAATGACAACAGGGAAAGACACACAGTAGCTATAAGAATATAAGAACTGATTTCAAATCTATGTAAAAATGTACTGAACAGTTCATATAATTTTCCGTGCTTCCACACAGCCAAATTAAATTCTCCAAACTGCCAAAAGAGTGCAAGATTATCCTAGTATACTAGTATAGTAGTATACAGTAGATAGTGTTATGTATTAAATTCATATCATACCTTCTCTAGCTATTAGATCAGCATCTATTATAGGGCACCCAAATTCAGCCAGTCGCTTTGATACTGTGCTCTTCCCACTTGCTATACCCCCTGTCAAACCAATCAGGTACATCCTGAGCTTCTGACAGGTTTATAGGTAGGCCATTGAAATCAACCCTGAAGCAGAAGGTTCAAAACTATTCTAATTTCAAATTACTGTAAAATCGTAGGAGTATGCAGTGGGGAAGGGACAGTTGGTTGAAACTGTCTTTCCTGGTTTTGATGAAGAATAGTAAGTTATAATAATTTGCAATGCCAAAAAAATATAATTTTGTTATTCAAACTGTGTTCAACTACATGATCAACCAGAACAACGGCAACGCCAAAGCGTAGCGAATCCCATCGAACAGAAATGGCTGGCATTTTTACAAACGAAATATATAACAAATATCATACAGTCATAAAATAACACAAATAAAAAAGGCCACCATTTTCAAAATGGTTGCTCACTAGCCAAGTTGTCATCAGAAGAAGTAATATGCTTATAAGTAGCCACATATAAAATGTTTAAAAATTGCACACACGTACATGTAAATGGTGGACATTTTTTAAATGGCAGCCTACTTCCCAAAATGTCATAAAACAGTATGCAATCCCATGAGTATTCACATATATCAAATATGAACAAAATCGCTCTATTACTTTTTGAGTTACAATAAAAAATTTAAAATAACACACATGAAAATGGTGGCCATTTTTCAAAATGGCTGACTACTCCCCAAAGTTTTATTAGACAATGTGCCATGGTTAAAGTATTCACATATCAAATATGAACAAAATCGCTCCAATACTTTGCGAATTATAGTAAAAAATGTAAAAATGACAGCCATTTTTTTAAAATGGCCGCCTACTACCCAAAGTGTCATTAGACAGTGTGCCATATGCTTATAGTATTTACATATAAAGTATGAACAAAATCGCTCTACTACTTTTTGAGTTATTGTACTAAATGTTAAATAGCACACGTAAAAATGGCAGCCATTTTTCAAAATGGCCGCCTGCTACCCAAAATGTCATTAGACATTATGCCATGCTTAAAGTATTCACATACCAAAGATGAACAAATTCGCTCCACTACTTTTTGAGTTACAGTAAAAAATGTTAAATAACACATGTAAAAATGGCAGCCATTTTTCAAAATGGCCGCCTACTACCAAAAATGTCATTAGACATTGTGCCATGCTTAAAGTATTCACATACCAAATATGAACAAAATCACTCCACTACTTTTTGAGTTACAGTAAAAAATGTTAAACAACACACGTAAAAATGGCGGCCATTTTTCAATATGGCAGCATACTACCCAAAATTTTATTAGACATTGTGCCATGCTTAAAGTATTCACATACCAAATTATATATGAACAAAATCGCTCCACTACTTTTCCAGTTACAGCAAAAATCGTAAACTGACGTGCAAAGGCAGCCATTTTTCAAGATGGCTGCCATGTATTTCTTCTACATTTACATTTCTAGCTTAATAAATGTTCTATATAACTTTTTTACATTTAAAACATATTGCTATTACAGTTTTATATGCAGAACCTAAATAACTGTAAAATCGGCACTAAAATGGCCGCCATTTTTAAATGAGTGGCCATTTTGAAAATCGGTTATCGAGCAGAACTTCTACCCCCATTGGGTATATGTGTACAAAATATGAAAAAATCGGGCCAATGGTATTTGAGTTATTGCCCGGACTGACAGACGGACGGACAGACGGACGTATGTACGGACGTACGTACGGATGGACGGGCGGACAGACTGACGGAGGCGTTCCCTTTATCCCTCCGAACTTCGTTCGATGGAATAATAAATCTGTTTTGACCAGCAGGGATGATATACAGTATGACGTGGTGTACAGGTATGCCAATTATAATAGACCAGTAAAACAGAAGTTCAACTCTACAATCTACAGGCTCTACATGAAGATAGGTTCTCTGTATGGGAGGTTTTCCCCCTCCAATGTCTGTGCTTAGTTCTCTTCATGTACATGTAGGTAACAATGTAATTGAAAGTGAATTACATGGTAATGGATCATTGTAGAAAAATGACAAAAGTCTAGTCTAACTATAGCCCATTTCATTGTTTTATTTCGTCAGTAAAACCTAAAAAAATAAGAAATCAAAAGATCATTGTGCAATAATATATGGAAAAGTATATTCCTATTGTAGATAAATGATATTTGTTTATCTTGGATTGCTTCTAGTTTGGCTACATCTACATCAATAATCCGCAAAAGGCTAATAAGCCCATTTAAAGCAGATACATGTATATAGTTTAACAGTGATATAATTTGAATAGAATACAATTTGTCGTTAACATTAGAAAAAATAGATCTATGGTTTACAACTCATTTTAAAATGTACACTGAAATCATGAAACACTTCTCCACTTAAGGAGGCATCTTCCCCAAGGTTACTTCCTGCGAAAGCTATGTGGATTTTGATATAATAGCTTTCCCAAGGTGCACTTGGGCAGCTGAATAATAGTGACCCTTGAAACACGAATTAAGTCGATCAGCGGCTTACTTTTGGTCTCTAACTGTGTCTTGCAAGTATTGGAGCGCTTTTTCGATCAAGACTTGTAAATTGTTCATCGAGTGAATGTTTTCTTGACCCATTTCCAATATGGCGGTTTGCTAGGATCAAGATACGCAAAGAACGAAATGAATTCTGAGAATGAGTTAGGGTCGGGCAACCTCCGGAGATTTACAAAAATGTCCGAGCCATATTGGAATTTGGCAGAAAAAACATTAACTCGACTAACAATTACAAGTCTTGATCGAAAAGGAAGTACTTCAGCGCTCCAGTACTTGCACGGAAGGATGATAATGATGTATGACATAGTTAAAGAACAAAAGTAAGACCCTGATCGATGCTGATCGACTTAATTCGTGTTTCAGGTCACTATTATTCAGCTGTCCATTTCCCCATTCCGGCGAGAGCCATAAGTTTCAAAATCTAACATGGCTCTCGAAGTGAGTAACCCCAAGGCTAATAAAGTATGTGGCCGCTTATATTTTGATACTTCTCTGCCATTGTATTTTCAAAAAGATTAACATGGCTGAAATTCTTTAAATTAGGGACAGCATCTTTTCCAATCAACCGAGGTTCAGCTGAAGGTAAGCCATACAACCGAAGGTAAGCCATACAACCAAATTTTGCCGATTCAATCTGACGGAGAATGCCGAGCCCCTATTTTTGACCAATTAGAGACATCCTCTTCACATTCGTGGTTCCCTCGGCCAACTTCGTTTGCAAAGAAAAGCTTCGGCAATCTTCGGCAATCTCCGGCTTTTCTTGAGGTATCTTCGGTTGATTGGCAAAAGTCGACACCCCTTTAAATTACAAGACATATGCTTATTGCACAAAGAACTAAATAATCTGAAATACAAATGTCATTCATGTACAATATGAATATACTTTTCCATATATTATTCCACAATGGAGAAATGACCCTAGCATCAAATTTGGGAAACCCCACGTCGTCTGGATACCAAATCAAGCTATACGTAGTACGTACATAAAATGTTCCGCAAAAACTTTCGAACTTTTCAATTTAATTTTCTTACCTTCAATTTGAAGAGCACCGTTTCGTTAAAAGGGCGAACGTTCATCCCTTTCAGGAACGAACAAAACAGTCTCAGATTTTCAGTTGCCTACCCTGCGTGCAGAGTCTAGTTAATACCCTGCGTGCAGAGTCTAGTTAAACTACAGAAGACGAAGCTCTGCACTGCAAAGGGTATCAGTTGCCTAAAGTCCGGGCCTAAAGTATCGTTTTTCTTCATGAACTCAACTTATCTTTAAGTAGTACAAGGGTTGTTCAGAATGTTTTGCACAAATATGTCTAAGTTGTAAATAATGGACCAGTCTTGTTCAGCCCATATCTTATTCCCTTACACTGTCAAAGTTTCATGTATATACGCCTACTACATTTACTTAACATTTTACGGTCTGGTCCCGTGCTAGGACTATAGACTATAGTCCTGGCACGGGATAAGCTATGGTCCCATCATTTTGAAAAAGATAACTAGTAACACACAAAGATCAATGTTACTAAGCACGCTAAATTAACTTTCATAAACCTGTCACTATCACACCGGAATAGCCTGACAACGGTAAAGTCAGATACCGTTGTCACAAATGGCGGACATAACCATCACTTGGTCCTCATTTCATGGCATTTTATCGTCGCTAATGCTGTGCATGTATTAAGCTCTTGTGATGATTTATCATATGAAATCCCAATTTCGATTAAATTCGGTCGTGAATCGCTATAATATAGCGTCTTCGATATCGTCAATGACAACGGAATCTGAATTTGAATTAATTTACAAAGACAACGGCTTATGGTAATACAGTGTCCGTTGTCCCGTATCTCATTTTGATCGGTTAAATTAAAAACTTTGTCTCGATGGTAGAACAATTATTGGCTGTACAATGAGTATAAAGACACTTTGATTGATTGTTGTTCCAAAGAAATTTAGTCTAGGTGCTCTTTTAAACATACAGTTCATGAAAATCTAATTGAAGCGACGGTTGCGTCGCCATTTGTGACAACGGTAACTGACTTTGCCGTTGTCAGGCTATTCCGGTGTGACTATGTAAACGATTTCTAGTATTGTTCTCAATGGAAAATGTGAATCTTATCTCAATATTTCCCCGCTTGTTTTCTTTGTCAAAGAATGATCGTAAACATACTCTTCAAACATGTTGAACAAATCACCTGATTTTGTGACGTTATCAAAGTTCTCATGAATTCCAAGGAGGATTGGCTCCCAGAATGCAACACCGATATTCTGCAAAACAATCACCTAGCGATAGCTTTGTTGGAGAGTATCGGGTCATTCTCCATGCAGTCGTACAAATTATACAGACACGAATAGCAAATGACGCATGCGTGGAGATTAAAGAATATCGAGTTGGAACCCTGGCTTCCAATCCTCCTTGCATGAATTCAGGAAATATTGGAGAATATGGCTCGGCATAATAAAGTTGGAGCAGAAAACATTGATAGAATACATGATAAAAAAGAATGGGGAAACAATCTTAAAAAAGTTATACACTTTAAGCTTGATATCCTATAGGTAGGATGGTTCAGACATTTGCTTGGACCCCGGGACGCAATGCTACAAGTATGATGCATTACTGAAGAGGAAGACTATATATTTAGATTAAATATAGATTATTAGTATTATCACGCGGTACAAACTTCGACCGTTTATTTAAATTTTTGACCTACCAGGTGTTTGAAAATCAAGGATTGCGTGTCTCATACTGCACCGTTTTTCTTCAAACTTGTTCCATTCAAAGCATAACAAAAATGCCTTTCTGTTGGTACATTATTCTGCAATACAGAGTCCCTACTTTCAGCGGCATTTGGGTCGCCAGCTGTGAGAAGGGCTTCTCACAACTGGGGACCAAAACGCTGCTAAAACGAGCGACTCTTTTCAATAAAGCAATGTACCAACAGAAAGGCATTTTTGTTTTGCTTTGAATGGAACAAGTTTGAAGAAAAACAGTGCAGTATGAGACTCGCAATCCTTGATTTTCAAACACCTGGTAGGTCAAAAATTTAAATTAACGGTCGAAGTTTATACCGCGTGATTATAATATAACCTGATTAATAGCTGAAATTTCACATAAGCTTGTAACACGATGGGAAAGTGTACCCGTGTAAATACAACCTACCGCCGAGCAAAGACCCGAAGATGTCTGAAAATGTAGGGGATAAGTTAATAAACTCCTGTTTATAGCCTATATTGATTTTCTCAATATGAGAAATAGATAAAACACAGAATTATTTGTAACAGATATAGTTGTTGTTCCAGGCACTCATGTTTGCAGAATAATGAGTACTTTATGCAATATTTACTATCAAATCGCTACTACAACATCTAAATATTAGAATGATGTTTTACATCTTAAATAAGTAAGAACCATGGTTGTATTTACTCCATTTGATTCAAAGATACAATAGGTGCAAACATATCACATTTGTTTTACTGCCATACGTTGCATATCATTGAAATCAAATGTGAAAGTTGAAAATGAAAGACCCGATCATACCACGAATACGATTCTATAGGACCCGATGCTACCGCCTGAGTATTCCGATTATACCGTGAGTGAAACCCGATGAGGTAGTGAGTAAGCTTTGGGATGATCATATAATAACATGAAGTATATCACAATAAATCCTCTTCAAGTAATATGATATAATTCCCGCAGCACTATACGTCAACGTCTGTGTCCCGCAAAATTCTTTAAAACATTGAATTCATCACTGGGGAGTATCGTGATGCAACAACAACGTGTTGTTGCATCAAGATGGCCAGACTTCCGGTGATAGATTTTCGTACGATATGTTGTTTCCCCAATTTAAACCCATTTCTAGTAGTACTAGGCCAGTATCCATTTGCCTTCTTCTCAGGCATTCAAAATACACGTCCTGCGGGCGAAGATTCTTTATATGTATTTTCAAAAATATATACTTTTAAATATCATAATGTACTGGAAGTTGTTTTATAACATAGTTCAATCGCCTTTAACATTGCAAGCTATAGTAACCCAATCTATTATCATAAACCCCTGTTCCATAGCTTGATGACCCTGATACCAGTTAGTATCATTCAAAATTGTGGACAAATATCTTTCGTTCTCGGTAAACACGACGAGCTATTGGAAATCTTGCACAACGCACATGTAGAAGTATTGTTCTCTTTGGATTCGTCCTCCCCGATTGAGTAAAAAGGTAGGTAAGAGGATTTAGGTCCCGAAAAGGTAAGTTGATAGGGGTACATCAATCCCAGATTCCCCCTGGGCCCTCGGGAAATATCATAATGTGTCCCGGAATAAAACCAATATTGAATCCCTCTCAGTAAATAACCTCTATATAATAGCATTATATAACTGCAATATCATTAAACCAACACTCATCGGAAGTTATGGCGGGGGGCGAAAAATTCTTTTCAAAAATGACTTTGAAGCGCTGTAACTTTAATATTCATCAAATAAACTAAACACTTAGTGTTCAAAAAAGTGAGACAATTCAATTTTCTATATGAAAATATTTTTTGCTGAATCTTTTACTGAAAAGATATCCTGATTTCTGATTTGCCCCGAACCCTCCACTTCCCATTGGATTACATGGGAATGACGATTTTCAAAAATTCATCAAATTTATCATCAATTTTCGACCTATTGTAATTGAGGAAAAAATTGAGAAAATTTGGAGGTATTGGAAATAAAGTCAAGTTACGTTTTCATCAATATTATAAGTTATTTCATCGCCGGTTAAGAAAATAAAAATTCAAACGTAAAGAGGCTTTAACACGTAGTTCAATGGAGAAAAAAGGTTGCCAAACTTATGGAGGGGACTGTATATACGATCGAGTACTGCTTAATTTAATGAAAGCTTTTAAATGAAGGGTACCTCAAAAGCAATCTAGCTTCAAAATTTGGACACAAAAATGTCTAGGTCAAAATCAAAGTTTTCCTTATTTTTGTGATTCTGACACTACACTTCAATTATATTCTTCGAAATTGTGTATATGTAGCCAAGAGTGTACTTATAGTGTTAGCCTTTTGCCGTCAGAAAGTATTTTAACCCACTTTTGAGATATGGTGTCCAAAAAGTAGGTCAAAATAAAAAATTCTCCAAATTTAACGTTTGAGTTAAATCAGAATTTGCAAACCAAATTTCGATCCGACTTCCGGTTCGGAAGTTATGGCGTTTTGAAATTTCGAGAAAAATCGATCTGATGGTATCCTGATAGAAAGTCAAGAGTAGCGAAGAAAATGTTGAAAAATCCATCCATCCTTCCTATCCTATCCCTTTTATCCCTATCCGTTCCTTCCTATTTATCCTTCATATCCTTTCCTTCCTATCTACATGTATCTATCCTTTCCTTCCTATCTTATCCTTCCTTGCTATTCTATCCTATCTTTCTTCTCTATTCTCTCCCATCGTTCCATCCTATTCTGTCCTATCCCTCCTTCCTATTTCATCCATCCATCCATCTTTTTCTGGATGACTCGGCTTAAAAAAGTTCAGATCTTGAGTCTGAAATTGAACTTGTTCAATTTCCAAAGTCTAGTTATATTAGTTCTTTGTAAACAATTTCCATACGATACGGTAAATCAAGGGGATTTAATTTAGAAAATCTATTTTTCAGATACAATATCAATGAGGTTGGCTCCCGGGGATTCAATACTTAGCCTATGTATTTAGTTTACCTTGTATATCCTTTTAACTTTGATAAAGACAAATACATTAGGAACCAAACAAAATACGTTTCATTCATGAACCACGCACTCACGCGTTTTATTCATTCCCGACCAACACCTATAAACAGAACATAAAACAGTTTCTCTTGATATTCAATGATACATTATATTGGCGTTTTTGCATCAGCACATTGGTGTTGTTGCATCATCGATAATAAACAAAGTGGTGATGCTACATGCATACTAATGAGAGTATTTTAAAATATAGATCATGAGCTAACTGCATGTGTATGATTATTGAGCAACTCGTCCTAGAAATGGGTTTAAATTGGGAAAACAA